CGGAACATTCCTAAGGCACTGACCCGAAGGAATCTTGGTGTACTGGACCAGGATGAAGAAGGATTCATTCAAAGAGAAGGTTTCGTTCGACTGTAGTACGCGTTTGACTTCCGCCATCCAGCGTTGAACAGAAAGCTCAGATTTGTTCATTGGAGGAGTCCAAATAGGATATCGCAGAGAATCTTGCTCGATCCGCAGTCGAACAATGGACTGATCCGGCACATCACGGAGCACATTATCCAGGACATCCTGCAGGATAGCCGATATAGCCACCGGAATAAATGAATGGTCAAGATGCTGAAGGTCCTGAACGGTCACGCGATAATTCTCGAAAGTCAGGCCATACTTGGCAGAATAACGGCGGGATTCTGGAACGACTGACACCAGATCACCAATATTATCCGGCAAGCCTCCACCCAGCTGCATGTTCCAGTCCGGATTATCCAAGTCAGGATAACTAGCGTTATCAGAATCATCAAACACTATATCGTCCATGGCCGCAACTTGAGCCATAGCATCAAGCATGCCTTGAGAAAACTCGTACTCAACCATTTTTTCGAAAAATCGATGTTGACAGTAAATGCTAAAACTAGAACTGAGGGTCTGTCGCCCTTGGTAAAGCGCCAATCCTGGCGTTTTGTGAGGTACAAAAAGCACAAACTGCAATTGAGCTTTCTGAAAAGCACAATCGATAAAATGTGACATACTCGAGGCACCCAGGCGCCAAAGGGACTCCCAGTATGAAAGCTGAGCGGTAGATTTTAAAATTGGTAACGTAGCGCAGTGGTAGTGCAGGTAAGTATGCAATTTCTATACACAGGTTCCAAACTACTGGTTGCCAGTTTTTTTATTTTATTTTGTCAGTTGATCGGTTCGTGTTGGCCGTAACCGAACCGCAACTGAATGACAACTATTTTGCTTGATCCAAGTATTCGGTTCCGATCCGGTTTCTTAACTGGGCTGTCAGTCTAAGTCAAATGATGTCATACTATGAGACCGTGTGCAAACCCACGTCATCGATCAGATCAGTTTTTTTCGACCAATTGAATCACTGGCAACACATTTGTGGCCCGCCCCCAACTCTCCGTAACCAATGGAATGGCGTAAGTCACAAGCAAAGCTCCGCCTACCGCTCGATGCCCAATCAGCAAGCCTGCAGCACAACTAGAGCTCCGCCTTGCGTCTTCTCCGACGAAATCATTAAGGCTTCGAGGAAGAGAACGACCGAAGGCGAAATTAGTTGATCCAAATCTGAGTTCCAATTCACTTCTAAGATGGCCTCTAACGAAGAGCTTTTTGACGATATTGATAAACTGTTTAAGTCACTAGAGGCAGACAGAGTGTACGACAACCTCAGTGCGCCGGTCATCAGTATTCCTAACCCCACGGTTTCCCCAGCGCTACTGATTCCTGGACAGACTGACTCCTTTGCGCCAGTTATCAGCATCCCTAATCCTACAATCTCACCAGCGTTGTCTTTACCCGATCCTGGGCAGATCGAGTTCCATTTAGGCCTTGCGCGCTTTGTCGTCAAGTCAGAAGCCTATGTCGTGGTTTTCTCGGCACGTAATGCACGGGTTGCTGTTTGGACGGTAAAAGAGATGTTTGAGGTGTTCTCTTACCTGTCCTCCACGAAGTGTCGGATGGATCTCGCCTTCAGAATCCGAAACGAACGGCAACGCGGAAAAGGTTCCCATCCAAGATCGTCCTACGTTCACAGTTTTAGCGGGGACCTCCGTGCCAAATGGGTGGACCTTGGAAGCCGAGATTACGTCCAAGTCGACCGGTACAAGTCCCATGATGTTGACGGACTGCCCACGCACCGTTCACGTTTCAACATGACAACTATCCGCGACCTGCAGGAACTGGATGTTGGCGGGTTGCTTCGGAGGTTTGCGGTGTTCAGCTCGCCAAAGTTGCCTATGCCACAGGATTTGGAGGGTCAGATGATGAGCCGAATCCTTAGCGTCCTCAATGATTACACCAAGAACACGCTCCGTGCCACCGTTCGCTCGCTGCGACATGACAAAGTCGTCATGACGGACTTGCGAGGCGAACTGTTTCGAATTTTGTCAACATACAGTGAGTACGATTTCACTAGTGTTCGTTCTGTTGAAGCTATGCTGGAAAGTATGCAGATAGTGCAGTAACACAATGTTCTTTGTGTAATTTTGAATTATTATTATTATTATTATTATTATAATTAGTATTACTCTTTCAGTCAGTGCTTTGGTTTATGATGATGTCATTGTTAGAACCGTGTGCAAAAATTAAAATTGGCGAGTAGTCATGACGTAGACACGGGTCGTGTGCAGATCAGTACCTATGATATCATCGATGATGTAACAATATAGTAACGTGTAAACAAGATAGTAAGTCCGCTTTCAATAAGAGCTTCGAAGTAACGTGTACAGAATATCAAAACATGATGTCGTCGATACAAAGAGTTAGCAACTGTGCGAAAAACTAATTCGAAGATGACATAATGTAGGTTAGTTAGTTAGTTAGTTAGTTAGTTAGTTAGTTAGTTAGTTAGTTAGTTACGTTAGTTAGTTAGTTAGTTAGTTAGTTAGTTAGTAAGTTAGTTAGTTAGTTAGTTAGTTAGTTAGATAGTTAGTTAGTTAGTTAGTTAGTAAGTTAGTTAGTTAGTTAGTTAGTTAGTTAGTTAGTTAGTTAGTTAGTTAGTTAGTTAGTTAGTTAGTTAGTTAGTTAGTTAGTTAGTTAGTTATTCAGTCGCAAACTTACTTACCTATAACTTACTTAGTCTATTTGCTAGATTGTTATTTACTTAGCGATGATGTCAGTGATGATATCAGCGATGATGTCATACCTGATGATGTCACACCGTGTGCAAAAACTAGAGCCCCCAAACAGTATACTGTACTGCCGTATACGGCATACTGTACGGCACAACAGTACGTAACCGTAGTGAAAATTGGTACTGTAACGAAAGTGCCGTACGTAACCGTAAGCCAAAAACACGGTTTTACAATGGGCTTGCCGTATACGGTACTGCCGTATACGGTATACCGTACGGTCAATCCAGTTATTTCTGCCGTAACCGTACCGTAGCCGTATGAGCCGTAAGCGGAACCCGTACGTAGCCGTACAAAAATTTGTTACTGTTTGGGGGCTCTAGCAAAAACAAACCAACAAAGTTGTGACGATGCATTACGTGCGCAGAATCCGTTCGTAACGTTAGTGAGGCTATTTTGTGAGGTCCGAGCCCAGACCGTTGAATAAAATATACTGGCCGTAATAAACGTAGTTTCACACTGGTTTACAACAAAAATGCCCTCATAAGAAGCTGTACGAATCTGTCTGGCAATTTAACGTACCAAGCGCTGTGACAAAAACGCTCCGCAGTTTCGATTACACCTATCAAGCTATTCAGGGTGCAATAAGTAGCCCAATGCATGCTAGGTGTTTAAACAGTATGGCGTGACGCACCGTAGTAAGGAGATTAGTGTATCAGCGGTATCACGTATATTTGGATACTTAGCAGTTTTCATTTGTGCCTGTCATCCGAACCGGCTCGCACAGACCCTTATAAGCCCGACTTGACGCGTTTACAATAGTATGATGAAGAAATCCGGTCGCACAGCAAACCGTACCGCGGACGCTATCTTAAACAATCCTATTGTGTAATTCCAGACGTACAAATACAGACAATACGTGTTCACCCCACTGTATGTACTTGGTCTCAACATTAAAAGCAATTATTAATATTGACGAAAGGGTTAATTTTATAAATTCATATCGAATTTATATGAGAGCTCGAAATACGGTATGTATCAGCGATGCCAACTGTATGTACAGCATAAGTAATTGTACGGAGTTAATCCGGTATTTATCTGTATTGTCGCTGTGTTACTGCGCTAGAAATTACGGGTCAGACTCGTATAAAAATCAACGGCAGTTTATAAATTACCGTGTGACTATAACTTCATGGAGTACATAGCAACCGCAATGATGTTGTATGAAAGGAAGTCGCTTAGTTTAATTATAAAAATGACGAATTAATTCTACACTAAACTGTTCGAATATGTATATATATGTATGTATATTTTTCGAATTTCCGATGAACAAATTCTTATGATATCAGTATTTACTGTTCCTACGTACCGCTGGTGTAAACGCAATGCTGGAAGTTGAGTGTTCTGCTGTATTTACGCACATTCACGTAGGTACATAATACGTACATACTTAATATACCTTAACAAACGGTCAAAATTAACGTACACGTGTACCGGTGTACGTTTTCCAAATTACCGTGTATAAATACAGTGCAGCATTAAACTTCCAGTGAAACCACCAATGCGTTTACACACTAATACGAGGAATTGTAGTACGTGTTACGCTGTGATAGTGTAAATTTGTAGAATGTAATACATATGTTAATATGTAAAACACATATGTAAATTTGCAGAATATACGTTGGTACTGCGTAGTGAGTGCGTACATAGTTCTGCAAACCTAAGAAACCATATGCAGTTCTACATGGCTTTTTTATGGTATTAAAAGTATCGAATTATCTAAATAATATGTGGCGGAAAGGGAGTATTGTCTGGAGACTCACGAGGTATAGCAGTGTATGCTACGGCTAGCACGTGTGACCTGGACTGTAGATGTCGGAACGCCGTGTCGGCCAAGCAGCAGCGCTTACCTGCTAGCATGTGACGGCCGAGCTGCCTGCCTGGATTTCGTCGAAATAAAGGAGAAGGCTGGCTTACCGGCTTTCGCATACTTCCGTCATCCAATAAGGGTTAAGCGCGCGCAATAGCAGTCCTGCTCTCATTATGAGCGCGCTTGAGAAGCACACTTGCTCTCATTTTCTGTGGCAGCAGCCAGACGGCGAGTTTTTTTTTCAATCCGTCAACGCCAACTGGTTTGTGCGCGCTCCAGTTACCTGCTCTGAACTTTTTCATCTTCTTTTTAAGTTTTATCGTTTTTCTGGTGTTCTTTCTGTTGTTTGTTAATTTTTTTGTTAAATCTGCGTCATGGATGCCCTTCTGGCTAACATTCCGGAAAACGTGCCTCTTGTGACCGTACGTCTGTAATTTGCGCTCTTTTGCGTGATCTTTTATTATTTTATGCAGCTGTACAAAATTTCACGATTTCATCGTTTTTTAAATCAGTTTTTCAAGCGTACAACGTAAGACTAGAAAAAGAGAATCACTATTTTAAAGGAATTTGTGTTGGCAAGTCCTATTACGTTCAACCTTTGTCTGCTGTTTTAAACTTAGTGAGAATCTTTTCCTATTTGTTGAATATTCTAATTATTTTGCTGGTGACTTACAAATGTAAAGGTAGCTGTTTTGTATGGCTTTGAAATTAATCAAGCAACCACTGAACTTACTTTAATAAGTTATTTTCGGCAGCACCCTGTTCATCTGTTACACACTGTCAGTGCTATCCGAACAGGTTTTATTGTGCAGCGCAGCAATTAATGGCAAATGTCTTGCATAGCGCGCAAATTTAAAACCTGCGCTGCACATAAAAACCTGTTATCATAGCACTGACAGTGGGTGATAGGAGAACCAAGACTGATCGGTGCGCCTGTAGCACGTATTTTGCGCATTGCAGATACGAAATGATGGAGACGTTGGTGTTGCCGGCGGACCGGTGGCGATTTTCTTTCAAGCCACCGGTCAGGTTGCGGTTATAGGAGAGCCAGCCGGTGTGGCCGCAGTCGCTATGGATGAGATGGCGCCGGTCGCGCCGGATGTGGCGCCGGTCGCGGAGGACGGGGTATTTGCCGTGGACGCGGAAGCCATGGATGAAGAGGCGTTCGTGGCTGCGGTGGACGAAGCAATCATTGCCGCCGTGGATGAGGCGGTCAATGCTGCGGTGCACGGGGCGGTCGTGGAGAAGGACGAGAACGACGCTTTCGTGGAGATCGACGAGGTGGTCGTGGATGAGGTGGTCGTGGATGAGGAAGAGGGGGTGGCCGTGGTGGTGCAGGACGGCATGTTAGGAGCGGGCAACGGTTTGCCAGCTGCGGCCGGTGGTGCGCTGGGAGCGGCCGGTGGACTCATGGGTAATGGTGGTGTGATTAATCAGCCGAACGATGGAGCTCATGCGGGGCCAGCGAGCTCGGGGAACCAGGCAGAGCGCGGAGGACTCCGCGGCGGTAACGGTGCCGATATCGAAGCCAGTATGAGCGCTGAAGCATGCGCTGTCGAAGCCGGCGGCCGCTGCAACCCGGAGGACGAAGAAGGACCGTCTGGCGGAGTGATTGTCGCCAATACCGCACCGGTTTCGGAAGCCGGTAGCAGCAACGCTGGGTGCAGCACCGCGACAAACACCGGACAGTTGCTGCCGATTATCCGCGATTTGCCGCTGTTACGTGGACGCAACGGAGAGCGAGTGGGTTTATTAAAACTTTATTTTTTACTGTGGTTTATTATTAGTATTTTATTTTAAATTAATTTAATTTTCGGTTACAGTAAAGTTTGCCTGATGTAAACACTATTAAATTTATCAGCAGTTAACGGACAGTTTTGTTATTCGACGTTATGTTACTGATTTTATCATATGTACTTATATTTCATATTTATTATCTTAATTTATTTTAAATTTTTTATATTTGCTACAGCAGGCGAGTGCGGTTCCTCCTTGGTAGTAATATCTGCTTGTACGGTTTTTTAAAGTTAACCGAACACTCTCATTCAGAAGGGTTTTTGCAAAAGCAGTATTACAAAATTATTTAAGAATTTTTCTGCCTTAGTTAATTTCAACTTTTTTCCATTGTCAAATCAATTTTTTCAGTTTATAAAAAATGAAAGCATGAAAGCTGCTCTGTTTCAAATTAATTTAATTTCTCGCGTGGATGTTGCAGAAATTTCACATCCTGGATATCTTCAATGAGACGGTAGAGAGTATGCACTGGGCGTTTGATTCGTCCAATCAGCGGCGATACGCCCGCGATATTTACAAGATGATGGTAAAAATTTATTGTTCGGCTGATATTTCTGGTTGTCGACGTCTGATCATTGGTTGTGCTTTCAGCCTCAAATTTTTGAGTATGTGACAAAGAAATGGGAGAATATTCAGGATGCGGCGCTCCATGCCCGCCGTGTGTATCCCATTCAAGCTGATGTGGACCTGCACGGTATGATCGACCCAACGGAATGCTTCCTGAAGAGCGTTAAGCAGCCCAAGGTGACAGCATTATTAAGACCTTATTCAGCGTTTATTAAATTATTTATTAAGATCAAATTGTTTCGCATATTTATTAAAATATTTGGTTATCGAATTTTTTATAAAGAATTTACCAAAGTAACTTTTGCTTGTTTCTGTAGGGAAAGCGGGCGCGTGGTAACGACGCAACGACGTCTGGTTATGGCGAGAACATTGTGGAAAATAGCGATTCGGATAAAGAAAATCAGACCGGACGTAAAAAAAGCCAAGCAGTAAGGCGGGAGTTATCGCGTGAAGAGATGGTGTGTGGACGGACTGAAAGATTTGCGGTTGGAATGTTTTGTTTTAGTGACGCAGTAATATTTTTTACTTTTTTCTACTGCAGTAAAGATACGGTTTCCAGTTTTATGCAGTCGGGTATTTTTGCTTTTACCGACCTTTTCACCTGCGACTAATGTTAGGCTGTTTTCGGAGTGGACGGATTTTTTTCGTTTATACGCGACTGAATGTATCGGTTTATTAGGAAGTGGTGTTTTAGTTTCCGTGGTTTTTTCTTGGACTTGCTGATTGTTGATGTAGCACTCAAATGTTGTGCTGATTATTGAATAAAATTCAATTAAGTAGTGCTGAAATGTGCGTCGCAAATAAAACCGCGCGCTTTCCTTATTGTACGGCCGAAATGCGCTTTTGGTGGTACACCAAAATGCGCTTTTGGTGGGCCACCAAAATGCGCTTTGGGCGCCGCACATCCTGCGTCACATCTAGCGATAGGCCGTTGAAGTGGTAACGGTACCGTGCCGCTGGCGCGGCACATACAGCGGAACGCCGGGTAGTGCTCGTCAGCATCGCCCAATAGTCCCACTAACTACTACTGTAGTCACCTGGTTTTTTAGGCTTTTTTGGACATCCAAAAAAGCCTAAAAAACCAGTGATACAGTGATACACTATACAGGCTGTCTCAGGTTGTCTACAAGGTGTCTGCAGGTTACCTACAGATGACTACAAGAAGAAGATAAAACGCTTCAGTTTTTTTCTTTGGTACGAAACGTTCCATATATAATAATCATGCACAGGGCGTTGCACAATTTCCGTCATCTGGATTGGACGAAGTATTTCAATGGTACGATTCGTGAAATCTCAATGCCTGCAAGGACAAAGCACAGTAAGCTTGCGGGCACTTTCAGAATCAGCAAACTGCACCGGTGGGAATCGACGAACTCGCATAGTACAAGACCCACAGGGCGATCTTTTTCAAGAAGGCGATCTTGTAATTCAACGGTGCTATCTGTGTCACTCTGCAACTGCCCTTTCTTCGGATCGATTGACGGAAAAATTGACTCGATGGAGGTCAGTTTTTCGAGAAACTTGTGCGCTCATAGAGCATCGATTGCAGTAATAGGGCACTGTTAATTTAGTCGTGAGTGAAGTACGAGAAAGGCTCACCAGAGTCAAACGTTCAACTGGACGTCCAGTATCGTCAATCTCCAGCTTCCTTTTTTCCCGGGACGGTTATGTATGGATACAAACTGATGCCTGCCTCCAGAGACCCACTGCTGGGATTGAGAGTGATGCGTAATGTTGTGCATTTTGATACAATCAAACGATTTTGTCGGCTTAGACTATAGCGTTATTTACCGGTACGCAGAAATACAGCCGTTTCAACAGGATAGTGGATCCCCTCAATTCTGATGACAGAACTCTCTGCTTCCGTCGCATTATATCGCCATTTATCACGGGTCGATGTTAGTATACTCACAATTTGCAACTGGCTAACAGGAAACGAGTATTTGACCGTCTTCTGAGTAACATATCCCTAGTCGCGCCTGCTGTCGCGGTGGCTGGATCTGGTGCAGACATCGGAGGGAGCGGTCGGTGTGAAGTTAATGCAGAAATTGATGTCTAATTTTGTGAAAACGGATTTGAGGAACGTTTTTTTTTGTCGTTTAAATTGTAATTGTTTTGTAGGATTGAAATCTGAGCATGCTTCAGCACACTCTTCACTCATCGAAATCGTTTAGTTGGCAGAAAATGAGTTCCGCTTTGTTCAACAGGAAAGCGGAAACATTTTGCGTAACATTACCTTCGCTTTGAATAAGCATTTCACAGCGCAGAAGGCAACATTAGGGTAAGAAAACGGATCATCAATTCGCAGTGTCCCCCGAGAAAAAATCACGTCTACAGGTTTTGCTGGAAACAGACATGCTGGCACTACGCTGAAATGGACGGAAATGTCGTGATCAATTCGTACAATGACGACGGGAACGACAGTGAGTATGCGATGAGGCTAATGCAGCGCGGCCGAATCATTAAAGCGGAAGTGCACGAGGCAAGCATAAGGTCAAGTAAACCAAGACCTATGGTGCTCTTTTCTGGTGCTCTTTTCGTGACTTATGGTGCTCTTTTCGCTTTTTACCAGTGCGAACGCTTCTATGCATGCTCCGTGTAAGATACCATGGTGCGCGTGCGGTGAATATGTACAACATGTAGCCAATTAAAGCGATAACATGGAGCTTTGTCCAGATCCTAAGACTTAAGTGATAGCGTGAACAGTAAATACGGTTATCAAATTCGGCAAAATAATTATAAATACGCAGAATATCAGAACGCAAACTGTACGAAAGTGTGGTTCGTGCAAGCAAAGTAAATTGAAGAAAGTTTGGGCTGAATGCTCAACATTCAGTACATAGACCCAACGATCCGTCGAAATTGTTGCGGTCGTGCGTAGAGTAATTGAAATCTAAACATAACAGCTTTGCATTCAAATAATAGTCCTTAATAGCTTAATATATCCGCAATATGCAACACTGTTCCCCAGCTGAACCACCCAGTTTATTTGCATTTCCAAGAACGACACCGGATTGGATAGCATTTATACGTCAAATACAGCAGCAGTTTTAGAATAAAGTGGCATAAGAGTGTAGAACACCAAGACAACAAAAATATCTATGAAATTTGTTAACTGCAAGAAACCACGTAAACGAGTTAGAAAAATTGCGAAGTCAGTATTTTTTACAATCTCTAATTGGCCTTTGCCTGTTACAGCGCAGAACAAAAAACAGAAGGCCGTACCGAGAGTCGAACTCGGGTCGACGGATTCAAAGTCCGACGTGCTAACCACTACACCATACAGCCGCCATTGTTATGATCCTTTGTTTCGTTTATTCCACAGCGCTTGCAAATTCAGTGCACATGAAAGTATGCATTTTGTGTTACCGGAAGTGGCATACGGCAGTGCTTATTTAGGCATTTTTTCAAGTGCTCGCACGCAAAGGCTAAGCAGTATTTATAGTACTTACTGTCACTGAATGCATTTGGTTCTTCTGCTGTTTCTGTAGTTCCACTAACTTCCCTTCCTTTAATTTACATATTATGCACCGTGTGGTATGCGCTGTACAGTATGAACAAAATCAGGGCAATTATTATACTGGCAGTCTGCAGACAATACTGGATATACTTACCGTTTAATTTGCATTCGCTTTCATACGGCGGGACGGTACTAGAATTGGGCGTTTGTAGGATGTCGGTTGTGTGAGAACGGGCAGTAGCAGGCACATCCGGTGCGCTGTACCGCTCAGCGTAGCAGTCCCGAATGCCCGTGCGGCGGGTGTGCGGGAGCATGCCAGCTGGCCGTTCCCCTGCAAGCCGAACCCCCTTTTATTGTGATAAATGTACAACACTAACATATCGCCGCTCAGAGGGCGGGCGGGTTGGGAAAAAGTTTGGACTCGCAGTTTGCGCTATAAAACGCTTTCGAAGCAAAGCTGAAGTCACAGTGAAATGAAATATCGAATATCGAATGGTAAGACATGTGCAATACAGCATTGTAAAGAAGTACAGTACTTTACTATCAACATATGCAGAATGTTGCTAGGGAAACCAGCGGTGGACTATCTGGAAAGACAACTGCCGCTCATGCAAATTAACCACAATTAAATAAATTTAATTTATCTTTAATTTGCATTCGCTTTCATACGGCGGGACGGTACTAGAATTGGGCGTTTGTAGGATGTCGGTTGTGTGAGAACGGGCAGTAGCAGGCACATCCGGTGCGCTGTACCGCTCAGCGTAGCAGTCCCGAATGCCCGTGCGGCGGGTGTGCGGGAGCATGCCAGCTGGCCGTTCCCCTGCAAGCCGAACCCCCCAAACAACGGCCCCAAATTAAGGCTTCGGATAGAGCGATAAGCCGGTTAGTGGTACTTCCTGGCGTATATAGGAAGCGTAGGCGTCAGATCTCCAGCGTCCGGCACGCTGAATGTCTTGGAATGGTGTTCCATTTGCAGCTGCACTGGAAGCGGCCCCTATCCGGAAACTGTGTGGAGTAAATAAGTGACCGTTGGGAACTCCCTGTAGAGCTGAAGATAACTCGCGAGTAAAAGCAGATCTCGTGACCGGAAGGCCGTCAGTGGCCAGGTACAGGGCAGTGTGCAGACATTTTAGACTTTTCCTAAGTGCTAAGTAGTTCCGCATCGCCCGTACAGCACAGACAGACCGGCCAGAAGCTTGCAATGAAATCCGACAACCTTCGCGATATTGATCGGATTTAGAAGACCGGAGGTATATATGAACTTTCCCCTTCACGTATGACACATCCGTAAAAGAAATATAATGGCTGCCAGATGCTGGGATAATTTCACCGATGCGCAGAAAAGCAAAGAAACACAATGTAAACATACTCCAGTATAACTGTTTTTCAAAAACTGACAGAAGGGGAGATTTGTCGATATTAATTTTAATAATTCTCATATGATCGATGGTAATCGGCAGTCTGCGGTCAGTAACGGTACTGCAAAGGCGTTTGTAGCCAATCATGCATTGCAAGATGTTCGGTGCGTTAAACTCAAAATTCAAATCACTTTCTTTGAACGCATTAAATAGAGCTGATAGATAAACTTTGGCTGACGAATACGACAAGCCGCTTTCAAAAAGAAACGCCACAAAGCGCAATATGGTAGGTTTAGTAATATGCGCGGAAGATAAGCGAAACTTGTTACAAAACTCATTAAACCTATTTAACGCGCTTTGATAAGTTCTTCGAGAAGACGGCGCAATATGGTTATGACACAATTTATTGATAGTCACATCGAGAGAATTTAGCGATGCATCAGGTGATAATCGTAAAGATCGCGCAAGATGTTTTCCGGTACCACTGTTGGTTTCGGTTCTGCATCTGGTGCTAACATGAGAAATCGTGACATCTGAAAGCGGGACAAAGCGTCAGCGATTTTATTATCAATGCCGGATATATGCTTAATCGTTAGTGTAAAATTGAACCGTGCTGCAACGGCCACCATTCGCCGCATAAGCTCCAATACGATTCGGCTTCGTGACTTGTAACTCTCCCACGCTTGAGATGCACCAAGATTATCGCAGTGGAAAATAACTTTTCTCCCTTTTAGCTGCGATCCCCATAATGTAAGCGCTACAAGTATGGGAATGATTTCAAGGCATTCTATGGAAAATTTAGCATCCAGAATGCAGGGTGGCCAACGCAGCTGAAACCATGCACCGTTAAAATAGCCACCACACCCAAGCGTAGAAGACGAATCAGTAAATAACTGAATCGCATCATAGCGAGTCCAGTTAATCTCCAAGAATTCCGCAGTACCATTCCATCTGGGAAGAAACTCGAGCCACCATTCGATATCTTTTTGGAAGTCATCATCAAGATGCAGTTTATCAGCATTACTGTGAGACGATAAATTCGCAATAAGCCTCCTCGTGAAGAGCCGACCAACCGGTACACTTCTAGAAGCAAACATAAGAGAACCGATTAAACTTTGTAGTTCGGTACGAGTACATGCAATTTTCCTCTTCCACATATTAAGCATGGTGACAATTTCGGTCAGCTTGCCCTGCGGTAAACTGAGAGTTTGCGAAACTGAATCGAGCAGAATGCCCAGAAATTTTAATTTGGTAGACGGGCCTTCAGTTTTCTTAGTAGCAAGTGGAACGCCTAGTGACATGCAAAGGTCAGTAAATTTATTCATCAGTTGTGAACATAGCTGGAAGTTAGATACCGTAGCTAGAAAGAAATCGTCGACGTAGTGTAGTAAATAAATATGGCCAGTTTCATGCACATATATCCAGTGTACAGCATCAGAAATCAAGCAGAACAAAAACGGAGATGATCTCGAGCCAAAAGGAAGTACAATATCGAAATAGAAATAGCCATTACACTGATAACCGAGTAAGTGCCAATTGGCCGGTCTAACAGGCACCAAACGGAAGGCGTGTTGGATATCGAATTTAGCCATCAACGCACCTTTGCCCAGCTGGAGAAGAAGGCGTACTGCGTCGTCCACACTACAAAATGTTAGCGAGTAATCATCTTTGTTGATGTAATCGTTTACACTTTCTCCAGTTGGGCGAGACCTATCCATCAATATGCGATATTTGCCATCCGGTTTAGGCCTGACACCGAGCGAATTAATAACAAATGAACTAAATGGCGGAGCGATAAATGGTCCAACTGAGTGCAATAGAGAAACTTCCGTATCAATTTGGTTCTGGAGGTGTTGTGAATACATACGGGCAGATGCAGCATTAGGAGTAGATAGGTTACGGACGGGACCACGATAACCGATGCCAGCTCCATAACGTAGTATCTGCACTACTAATGAGACGTACGACCGATCCGGATGCATTTTTAGGAAATGCGCGAATGCATCCGCTTTCAATGGCGTAATGATGCTACTGGGCACCACTACTTGCTTTCCCTTTGCATTGTGGCTCTCGATGTTCGCGCTGACCGCAGCTGGCACATCGATGCTGGCGGCCGTATCGGCAAAATAGACCAGTGGTGCAAAGTCCTTTGTTCCACAAGTGGCAGACTTCGTCGATTTTAGATCCCCCGTTGCCAGCGGAGAGGTTGAAAAAAGACTGCCCAACCCAGGAGTTACGGCGGCTGCCGGCATTACTGCGCAGCAGCAGCGGACATTCCGGTCGAATGTGTCCGAGTTCATTACAGTGGTAGCACTGGATGATGTTAGTTCGGCTCGCACTGCTAACGGGATGATCAATATCATGCCCGATAGGTTGAGATAGATATTCTGTATAAGCATCATCATTCTTTCGGGACCACTGCAATATATCATCAGGGTTGCGACATACTGCAAGCCGGAACTGCCGGTCGTATGCAAGCCATTGTTCGGTTGCAATGCCTTTCAACGCAGCTGTCTGAGCGATGTGATCCATATACTTGGACATCGGCAAACTCAGTTCCGGATGCACGGCACACCGATACATTTTAAGAACATTAAATGCTCGGAACCACTGATGGAAATCACGAATTGGTTCGGTCTTTGTCGCAGATGCTTTAGACGTGGAAGGTGCATGTGACATGCAGATGTTGGGCAAAAGGTCGCCGAGATTTACGAATTCCTTCTTACTGAACAATTTGTACAGTAAAGGCTTGTCAACGGGTGTCAGCAAAATCTTAACGTTTTCCGGTAGAGAATCAAGAATTGCAGTCGCTTTACGGCTAAGAGTTGTAGCAGCATTACCAGTGAATGCGACGCCGGGAGCATCACTTACAGTTACTTCGTTACCTGGGTCAGATACTGGTGACAGGTCTCGTAAGTGGTGTTGCGAAATGACGGACTTGCCGGTGTTCTTGATTCGAACACGGCTTGACAACGGGGAAAACGACCGCACACTATTGTCTGATGCCGGAACTACTGTGGCGACAGATGCCGATAGATCGGCGATCTGTTTCTTCAGTAATGCTAGTTCCTGTTCCATTGCCGATTTCTTTTTGGTGATACCGGGATCGCTAGTTGTACTTCTGGTGTTGCGTCTGGTACTAGTAACACCGCGTCCAGATCCGCGAGGTCGCCCACGCCCACGATTCGAACTGCCACGTCGACCTTCAGGTGCCATAATAAATACGAGCGCGGTGTGGGTACGAATGACGGAAACCAAGATTGTGTATCAATAATAACTTCCTAACAATTCAGACGAACGAAATGAACTTGAAAATTTAGTCGGTTTCAAAAGAAGTCTTTCAAAGGTTTCAAAGTTTGGACTCGCAGTTTGCGCTATAAAACGCTTTCGAAGCAAAGCTGAAGTCACAGTGAAATGAAATATCGAATATCGAATGGTAAGACATGTGCAATACAGCATTGTAAAGAAGTACAGTACTTTACTAGCAACATATGCAGAATGTTGCTAGGGAAACCAGCGGTGGACTATCTGGAAAGACAACTGCCGCTCATGCAAATTAACCACAATTAAATAAATTTAATTTATCTTTAATAAACATTGAACCGATCAATGGTGATGTCAACGCGTGTTACAGCGCAACGCGCAAAACAGCTAACAAACAGGTTTTTTTATCAGATGCCTCAGTCGTAGCCTGTTAATGTCCACGTTGAGAATATATGTTTAATTGTGTATAACCACAAGTATTTATAAAATGGGTTTGGTTAGATATTGGACGGGCCAGATTGTTATCGAAACTATTGCTCTGCTGCTATGGGTGAACACGGAAATTCCATGGCTCAGGAGATTAGAACGAATTAGCTCACGACCGAAAAAATTAAGACCAATCGATCGACTATATCACTTATATGGATAAAGCGTATATTTTTATCTATTAAAATAAGGTCAGTGCTATGCGCCCCGACAACCGGGGCGCAAAGCAATAATACGTAGCTCATTAATTAAGTAAATGATACTATCGCTTTCATAAACTTTGGAACGGGCCAGGTGCTAACGTGTTTTCAATTTTCCCATTACTGGAAAGCAGATCTAATACGCATACCGCCAGCGATTGTGTTAACTGATGTCTATCGACGCTAGTTCGGTGATTGAAAGTTCGGATAAAACGGTGTACAATTATAAATTAGGTATGTGCAGCCTTGCTTTAATACGGGTGAAGTGCACTCTGAGGGATAACGTCCACTGTTTCATGGTATTTACTTTTTTTGCTGTCTAGCGGCCATAGCACAAGTCACAGTATACGTATATGCATAAGGTGGCTATCGGCCTACCACTAACAGCAGCCCCTGGAAATCCACGATGCAGGAGATGCAGTTATCTTTTGCCACAGCTCTGTCCATCTTCATCGGTTGGTACTAGGAAGTGCAATTAACCGCAAATTGTTCAAATTTTTTTGTTAAAAAACCGTGTGTGTCTTTTGCGCTTTTACACAATATTAGTTTAGATACATGTACTGCTTAAACCAAATCTCAGGTTGCATGATCATCGAGGCTAGCCTCAGCACAACCCTTTCCGAACCGGAGATTGACAACTTTATCGACGACTTCCCATCCAATCTGTTAGGACATTTCGGCAACCGCAATGATAAAGTTAACCATGTGCGCGCTTTGTCGCGCTTGAATTTGGGTGAGTTCTTTCCTCAACTATCTGTATTATCTTGACTTATCGTTGATAGCAAACTTGCCCGTCCCGCTACATAATGACTCCGTCTTCCGGCTATAGAACTTCCGACCGGCACGGACCTCCGCACCGGGAATGCCATTAGTTTCGAAGCCATCGGGAAGAACTATCAGTATTGCGTGTGGTTCCATAATGCCTTTCAAACTGATAGGAAAAGTCTGTGCTTTCCCTTTCAACTAAATACTTACACGCTTCATCGATTTGAACAGCATAAACTACAGGCATGGTTTGACCAACATCAGTAGTTCATTACTGCTGCAGCCAAATTGCGTATCGCGTTATAAGTCATTTCCTGTCCGGAATTTCGTTTATATTAATTTAATTTCGCTTATGGTGTCCCGAAGCGGAAATGTTTCTGGCTTTATATTTAATATTTGCCCAAGAAAGCTGATATTAGAAAACAGTAATTAAAAGTATGTATTTTAGTGCAATATTGGCTGGCACCTTATGCGCCAAGAAGGCAGCACCGTTACTATACGGTACTGTCTTCTCAATCTTTTAGCTATTGCTGGCTTGTATTCACTAGCATCGGTTTTTACAGATAATTTTCTTTCGGACAAACGAAACAGTTCAGGCCATTATCCGCAACTCCACGGCAAACTCCGAATTAATGATTGCCTTCAAACCGAGTCCGCAAGGTGTCCTTGTGGTACGCAATTCTAAAAAATGTGGATGTTTACTACGTTTTTTGTCCTCGTCGAAGACCGGGCTGCTTCGTTCTTGACATGTTTATTTTTGGCAGAGTTTTAACGGACAACGCGAAAGGCTGTACCGACGAACCATCCATCCGTTTTTCTTTGGGACATTCCGGTTAGATACTGCTGAAACTAAGCTTGCCACTGCTCTGCTGCGAAGTAAGCTACTTTTACTTCGTTCGACTACATACCACGCGTATACAGTATGTGCATAAAGTTATAAAATAACTGTTAGAACATGATTGTCCTTTTAGCAATCGGCCTCAGCGAAATCGGGACGAACTCCAGTTTTATCACGTCATTGTCCTTCATCCAGGGTCCTTTTCACCGAGACAACCAATTCGCCATCCGGTGTCACACAGTGGAACCGTTCTCATACCAGGAAATCGAACTGACAGTCCAAGCGAGCAACGCCAGCACTTTCCGTGATGTGGTATGAGCGAGGGCCGACATATTACATGTGTAAAATCGTGATCTTGTTGTGTTTTCTAGCATTTTGCTACTGCTACGCAGTTCAGAGCGGTAGAACTGCTTTTCGAAGATCGTCACACGAAGCTGAGCATTATTTATTTGATCAACGAACATGGTAATCGAATTACTCAGGTGCGCACTTACACCTACAAATATTTGGCAAAAGACACATTCGCACTTCTGCGAATGTTTTGCAAAAGTGCGAATGTTTTGCAGCCAGCTGTTTGTTCCTCTTTAACCGCCAGCACCTGTTTAATTGTCGCTGTTCGGAGACAGTGTATCATCACAGATATGCTTGCAGAAACTAAAAATGCATGGCACAGGAGCTAGTCTGCTTTTGGAAGAACCCATAGAGTTTTCGGGAGATTTCCCATCCGCTAACGTTTCGCTGGATTCCCGGGAAGTGAATTTATTCTACGAGAGAGCACCGTCTTGGTTTTATTACGGTACATACGAGGAAGACGCGCCCAGAGAATTGTCGGAAAACATGTTTTTGACTTTGTACAACTTGGATCATCTGGACTGGAAAAAGTATTCCAATGGTGTGCTACATAATTCTATTTATCCAACCGCGAATGGTACAGTGACAAAAGTTTTTAACTAGAATCGGCGAACTGCACGGCTGATTGGCGACAAAGGGGAGAAACGCGACGAATGCGCATTGCACAGGATTCTGCAGCCGATATCTTCCAAGAGGGTTCTTGCGATTCGACAATGATCTCTGTGCCGCTCATCGACTCCGCAATGCGTTCATTCGGAACCACAGACGAAAAATTTGATTCCATGGAGGTGATTGGGTTTTACAAATTGTGTTTATGTATATAGCAGTTATTTTTATTTCAGCAGCCAATCTGATTTTAGTCGTCTGTAAAATACGAGAACGCCTTACCGGAACCGGATGTTCAGCTGGTATTCAGCTATCGCACTAAGCCAAATGAATGGTATGCCTCGAAAGCCAGGTACGGCTTCAAATTGTTGCCGGCTTTCCAAGACCCGCTGTCGGGACTGAAAGTGGTGCGTAATTTCAGATGTATTTCCGTACTGGAAGCTCTGACAGCTCAATTACTATTAGCGTGGTTGCAGACATACACCCGGCTGGACAACAACAAGAACACATATGAGCGTCGACAGCAAATGACAATTCTCCGGTTCCGTCGCATTTTATCGCATTTGATTACGGGCCGATGTTAGTGCTTCTTCATTTAATCAAGAAATACTGATGCTAAGAGCTTTTTCGTTTTACAGTCACTTTGGATGGCGCCAGTTCCGCCATTGGGGTGAACGGTAAGTGACACACCTGCGCCAGTTACTAATTTACTATCGTTATTAAATTATTACAGATGGATACGAGAAGGTTTAAACCGAATGCAATAATGTTTTCTATACTCACTGGCACTGTCCAAAAGCAAATTAGCAGTCATTTTTTTAAACTGTGACGTCCTTATTTAGTCTGAATGATTTCACAACTTTATAATGGTGTTGTACAATACAGACTGTAGTTACTAAGGCGCAAGTACTTCCATTTTAGCAATCTGTAGTAAAGAAGTCGTTTACCGTTGTTTAGCAGTTATGCTGAAAACGGCGTTGATCTCTTGCCGCTGCCGCATTCATTACCAGAGGAACGTAACTTTAGAACTATGTTAAATATGAAAAGGAAAGCCTCTGTCATGTTAATATCCTGCTTTATGGAATGTTTTAGGGTCGAAATCTGAGCAAGACAGGAAGTCTTCACCTCCTTCATTTATCATTGAGATAGTTCAGTTGGCAGAAAACGAGTTCCGCTGGATTGGCCGCGACAATGAAGTTATTCGCTGTAACATGACCTTCAGTTTGAATAAACACTTTCACATCGGAGAGGATAACATTAAGGTAAGCCGTCAATAGATTTCATAAGCTTTTCGGAAACAGCATATCCTAGCCTGAATTTTTTGTAGACATATTGGCACTATGCCGAAATGGGTGAGAAGGTCGTGGTGAAGCCATACAGGGACGACAGCGATAGCACGATGAGAGAGCTGCAGGTTTCCCTAAATCCAGAAGAGCCGCACGTGTCACCGCTCACTCTGCGTATACCATCGCTCACTATGATCTTTTCCTCTTTTTCTACGACTGCTCGCGCAGGTGGTTTTGCGTCGTGCGCAAAACGCTGTTGCGAACACAGTAAATGCGTGAGAATTCCTGGGAAGCAGCTGAAAATATTGCTTTGTTAATGTTACTGTTACACTATCAGTGAGCAGCAACAATAATTACTGTAAAACAATAAAATTACTGCATAAAAATACCCAAACAGCAATGAGTCAAATTGCGCAAGCACCGTTAAATAAGTCTATTCGTTAATTAAATGATTTTTCTCTGCCACATTTCGAATATTACAACGAAAACTTGGCTGTACTGGTTTTCAGTGCAGTTGGTGTTCTATCTACCGCAACACAACCGTTAATTTGATGAACTACTTTCTTCACTTCGCTATCTTCTAAGCTTTTATAGCAAAATTATATGGGTACTCGTAACTAGAGCCTAAAATTTAACAGAGCAACAGCAGCTTTTCAATTTTTTTAAAGTTTCTTTAAAATTTCTTTAAAGTTTTTATTTATGAAATCTAAACAACTCGTGTTTTGAAGCGATGCATAAATTTTACCATTTATGTAACTAAATATCAGTTTCGAGTGCAACAGCGGTTTCTATGGGTGTCGTTAAATGGTCATCTTGCTCTATGAGATGCAAGCAAAAGCCGAAAAGGACATTGAACCTTTCAGAATATCGCACTGCCCTTGCGCTACTTGTTTTACACATCCATGATCGATTCTTCTTTGAAACACAGCATGCGGACGAAACCACGAACCGTCAAGCGTTAGCGCTTAACAACAATAATTTTTGTTTTACAGGTAAACAGAATCAAAAAATATTCTTGAAAACACTACAGAGTACGCGTTGAAATTTCGGCAAATAGCGCTTCCGAATACGCTTCCGATTCAGCAGATTGTTGGCGTGCAGTATCTTTAAATCAAGCTGCCGTTAAGCAGTCCAGGGCTTTGCGAACATCAGACAACACGACTGAAAACTTCTTGGATCAAAGTTCAATGTACATTATCATACATATGATCTGACAAGGCAAGCCTAAGTGGGTGGGAAACCCTGAGATGGGAAGCATTGTTGGTAATATGTATAGATTACTATCGGTGGTCTTGGCCTTGTGAGTGCAAAACTAGATAAAGCGGGTTTACTATCAGAGAGATGAAACTCGATGTAAGCATGCCTTTACAGTAAAAGTTCTGTTGTGTGAGGAAACGTCCTCGCATATTTTCTAATGGGTGTGTGAGAGCTTTCGGCCTTCAGTTAGGACAAAAACATGCAATCGGTTCCCCTCACAGTGTTGCGCATTGTGCTCGGTCAGTATTGTAGAAACGAGGACAAGTCAGTACTGAAATGCATTTTGCATTAGAAATGCTTTAGCGGTTTTTTTTTTCGGTTACAGACAGGTAAAGTTAAATGTGAATTTAGCTATACTAGTAATGTGGTTCAGGCGCACAAGTACTAGAATAACAATCGCTGACGGGAGTTCAGCACTCGCATTTCAAATAGTTATTAAAACAACAGTTTCTGGTTCCGTTTCTTATGAAAGTAGTATTTTATCAAATTTTTTTGGAGCAACAGACAAAATTTGTTAACCGGTCTTACCAGAGTATAGCGAGAGCGTGTGCGAGAAACATCGTGCAACTGAAAATGCAATAATGTAACGGAATATTTGTAGCATGTCAAAGGACCATCCCTAATCTGCATGCGTAACCTCGTCTTATTTCTAGCTTACGCAGTGCTTGACATCAGCCGCACTGCAGACGCTGCTGCGCACGACGACGCCAGCGACGTATTCCCCGCAGGTCTGCTCGGGTATTTCGTGAGCCAGGAAGACAAAGCTCATCATGTGGAGGCACTGTCCGATATTATGGGTAGGGTTCTTACAGAAATTGCAGGTGGCTTGATAAAAGTGACGAAAGTTCTTTCATGCAGAACTTCCGTCCGGCATGGATCTTCGTAAAGGAAACGTTATAAGTTTTGAAGCGGTGCAGGACGGTTATCAGTACTGTGTATGGTTTCACAATGAATTTCACACGCAGCGGACGAGTATCTGCATTCCTTTTCAACTGAATGCCTATACTGTCCATCAAGTGGGTCAGGATAAACTTTCTGTACAGGTAAGCGCCGTCACCTAATTTTAAGAGTGATTTCTTCTCCACACATTGCTAGATAAAATTTATGTACTTTACTTTAATCGATTCTCGAAACGCCGCGGTTGTTTCGATTCTGTTTCTTTCGTGCAACGTCGCAGTCCTTTACAGATGACCTGCCTTCCGTTGACCGGCATACTTACTGCTGTGATAAAAAATCTGACAGTGAGGACCACATTAAAAATCATATACACACCAACAGACGGCGATGTTTTCGTGGTAGGGAGATCATTTAGACATTTACCGGATAACTGTCAAGATTGTGACTGATATTGTGATACAGTGCCGGTAACTGCTTGAATTGATTTCTCCAAGGTGATTAACGGAATGCGATCCGCTCGTTACACCCGAACGGTTCACCCAGCCATGTTCGGAACGTTCCGGTTCTGGTTCGGGTACACCGAACTAGCTGACTTGATATTACGTTGTAAGTGAGAAACACGAGAAGCTTACGGATTACCGGAAGCGGAGCAAGACACCTTCAGTAACTTGTTATAGAAGTAGCTTATTTCCATTTGCAACCACAACAGAAGGTAAAAGATTACCCGTAGTTGGAATCGTTTGATTTCAGTGTACGCTACTTTCAACGGTTATCTCGCAAAACCGTGTAAAAATTTCTGAACGCAATCCTGTCCCCAGTAAAAAAGTTTTGTAAACCGTAATTTTAAAATAATACTATCTTCCAGGCAGACGAATTTTGCCTATATTTCATTCCACCAGGGCAGGGCCAGATATTTTGATTATTTCTAGCTCTCTGAGCCTTTTGATAGGGCTTCTTATAGCATTAACAATTTTGACATTGTTATTTTATATATTGACAGCATTTAATGCCAGTGAGCCGTGGATCAACGCCACACTTTCCTTAGTCCAAGGTCCGTTTCATGGTGACAGTCAGTTGGCCATCAGGTACTACACAAGGTCACCGTTTGCCTACCATGACATGGAGCTGACTCTGCACCCGAACATTACCGGCGTTCCAGTGCCCGATCTGGTATGCCGTCAGCCTAGCGCCACACAATAAAAGCGTAACAGCGACCAAAATGATATAACCGGTGATCTTTTGACAGGGACTGTTTGCCATGGCCGGACCATCCGGCAATTTATACGTAAATCTTGGCCGTCCAACGCAATATGGAAACAAAAAGCTGACCTTTATCTACGACATTGATATAAAAAACGGCGCTTTGATCCAGGTACTTCCGTCACGATGCAGATTGCAAATATCTACTGGTTTGAGCTCCATCTTATACAGCCATGTTGTTTCGTCTTTGTTGATTGCTTAATCATCTTTGCCGTCACAACACCTTTGACCTGTGGTGTGCATGAAACAATTATCTTTACAAAGCTCCATTTCAGAAGCTGACGCTCATAATTCTTGTAGGAAATTTAATTTTTGAATTGTTTTACATGCAGATACAGACAATCTGAGACCATATGACCTCATTTTGTACATCATAACAAAAAAAGTTATTGTAGGCAGACGGGAACTTGTGCGTCAGCGAAATTTTAATAAACTTTTTATAAGAAACCCTTAGTTTTATTCATGTGGTGGTCTAGCAACGCAGATATTCTTACGACGTGGAAATAATTAATTAAAATAAAATAATTACGGCATCAAAGGGAAGCAATATCTTAGAAAATAGATATGCGGTGAATTTTTGTGCAAGCAAATGGCAGATAACGAGAAGACAAGAGCAGCCATTTAAAACAAACAAATCTGAGCGATTAAGGCAAAGAATGCGTCTAAATTAGCCGCTGCAGTGTACAGTACATACATAAATTTTGTTTTGTTTTTGCTTACAGAAATTGCAAATGGACGGTAAAGAGGCCCGCCTCTATTACCAGAGTGAACTGCCATGGCATTACTACGGCACATACGAAGAAGTGTACAAAGAGCCAGCCGGCAACTCTTTCACCACACTGCAAGATTTTGACCAACTGGACTGGACGAGATTTTCCAGCGGTAACATAAGCTGTACTATTCTTAAAACGCTGTGTTGGACATTCTTGCGTTTACTCGTTCAGAATCCGCCAATTGCTCCGGGAAGAACAGACGCATCCGGATTGTTCACCGTTCACAATCAGCGCTCCCAATATTTCAAGAAGGAATATTTCAAGAAGGAGCGCTCCCAATATTTCAAGAAGGAACTTGTGGTTCGGTAATGCTGCCGCTCGAAATTTCCCCCCGGGAAAGCAGTCGTATGATTGAGGACCAACAATTTAATCAGATAGAGGTACCTACAGTAAATTTTTACTGATAACGAACACTTCTATACAATCCCGTTTTTGCATAATTATAGTCGTCGGCCCAACTCGGAAGCTACTCTTCTGACCCGGATATTCAATTAAGGCTCCACTACAAGGTAGCAGATCAACGGGGATCCCAGGTTCAATGTCGTTTCCAACTAATGCCGACTGCTAAAGATCCGAAGATGGGACTGCGCGTGGTCAGTAAACTGTACTTCATACCGTCAAAACGTAAGCTGAAATTTTATGGATTTTGCAGAATTACACTCGCTCTGACAGTAGAGACAGCTACGGATCAAGTAGTCGGAATCGAGTACTCCGTTTTAGGCGCGTCATATCTCCACTGGTTCCAGGCAGATGTAGGTGTCTCGACAGAAGATGTGATAGTCTCCGCTTAGCGACAGATTTCGCTGTTCACTCGAAAACTGCTAAAAACTCCGAAATGAGTGCAGTAGTAAATCTCTGGCCACCGCGGTAGTTGTGTTTTCTAGATCCAGTAAAACGGTAAAACCCCTTAGAACGTACACTCTTATATAACGTTCACCGCTTTATTATGTGCATGTGGCTGAGAAACGGATTGTCCGGTAGACTATAACACAGAGGCAGTACTCTATATAACGTTCACCCCTCTACAAGTAATAACGTACGCCCATGTTAGAACCGCTGACATTATTCAAGGTACATTTAACCCCTGCGTTACGTAGAGCTGGCTGAGAAAGCGAACGAAAATTTCGAAGAAGGTTCTGGGTACTGGTGTAAATCTTCAGTGCCCTATTTGACCATGCATACCAGCACAAAAAGTGCCATTTAATTACTCTAGTTGTTTAACAATGAAAGCAAAAGGTAACTGTAAGAGTTTTTTTTGTCATAAAGTTTAAAATCAATGAAGTCGTTAAGTTTGAAAAGCTTAATTACCGCAATGCCGCTACAAGATTAAATTTGCCGGCTAATACCATCAGGATCTCCCGGATCAGCAGGAATACTTCTCCCCCTATGGGGCGCTATAAATCGCCCCTAGGGGCAGTACCCCTACCTAACGTACACCTTTCTATAACGTTCGGAAAGCCAGGAACGGAGGGTGTACGTAGTGGAGAAGTTTCACTGTACATTCGATCTCTTTTGCAGACTCATTTGATCTTCCAACCGAGCCGGATTACATCTTCATAGCCGGCCTTTATGGTAAGTGAACAAAACTGAGATTTTTTGAAGTTTTCGTGCCTTGTTTTGTTGAACTGTTCTTGTTGCCTTATGAATAAATCTTTGTATCACTCGGAATAGGAAAGCTTCCTCCAGAATCCACAAGCGGCACTGGCCTTATTGAGATCCGACAAATTGGCAACAACACAATCCAGTGGACTCACACGCTCAATGGAGATTTATATATCAACACGACCGTTAGATTTAATAAGGATTTCCGAATTATCCAAGGCGACGGAAAGGTGCGGTTGAACTGATCATTGTGCTTCCGTCGCTTGTCACCGTTGTATTTACTAATGATCTCACTATCAGAAATACTGGGACTACAGCGAAACCGATGGGAAAGTCGTGACGAAGACCTACAATGCCGATCCACGAGTGATAGGCACGATGATTTTCTCCCAGGAAGGAATTGCCTTCTACCACTGCGGAGATGTATCGCCGTGCGTTCTGCTCAGAACAGCGCTGCGCATGCCGTAGCTGTTTTACAAACGGGTTTAGTATACAAAAAAACCTTAAATTAGGATTCTAAGACACTGCAGTATGACGTGATCTTCTTACTGAGCTTGTTATTAAGGCATCCTTTGGGTGTTCTAAAAACCTCATGACTTGTTTAAGGGCACACAGTAACAGACTACTGAATAAGTAAGCAGTAGCTTGAGATCTCCGAGAAGTGGCAATAAAATTGCAGAATTTGCTTTAACATACCAATTTAAAATGAGAAACAATCGCGTAAGGAAACCGGTGACAGTTGATCCGGCGGTTCTCAGTACTCTAGCTACGTGCTGAATAATTGTGCGTCGTAATTTCGGAGTCAAGTTTTGACACAGCATCTCCACCACAAGAGTTCGCTTTCAAGTACCGTATCTGTGGGTGTGACTGCTAGATACGGCGTGTTGCCTAAGTGCTTGCGGAATCAACTTGTAAATGTTCGCATAAAAAAGCATTAATCAGTACATTTGCGGTGCGTATTCCAGGCGTTTGATGAAATTCTAGTCGAGAGTGAAGACAAGTTATTTATGCCTGTTCCTGGATCCAGGTAGATCTATTGGTGGTGCTAGTTTTTTTAGCGGGGTCTCGAAGTTTTGGAGAGGCCGTGCATAGTAACGATTATTATCGATCAATCGCTTAGCCCTTCAAAATTTTGACATTACAAAAGACCGAAGCTTAACGCAGATTGGCAGACGAAAAAAACAGAAGGCCGTACCGAGAGTCGAACTCGGGTCGACGGATTCAAAGTCCGACGTGCTAACCACTACACCATACAGCCGCCGTTGTTATGATCCTTAGTTTCATTATTCAACAACGTATGCAAGTGCCGTGTAAATGAAATGATACGTTTTGTATTGCGGGTGGTTATGTCCAAAAGTGCTTACATCGGGAATTTTTTGAAGTGCTCGCATACATAGGCTCAGTATTTTCTTGCTGAATATAAGCGGTAGTACCGGTGTTTCCATAAATATTAAACCATTCTCTAGTACTATGCGGTATAAATAATTACTGATCTCCAGACAGTACTATAAGAATGTACAGTTTACTGCAAAGCTGTGATTCACTGGTTAGTCCGCCCGATTCCGCCGTATGTTGCAGCCCAGTGAGCAAACGATCTAAGAAACCTTTTTTTAATGAAAGCTCCAGTGTTCCTGCAGTACAGTACAGTATGCCTACAGTATATTTACTATACCAAGTGTACAATACATTTAAATAATTATGTGATAACTGATAAGGGAAGAGTTCCGCTTTGCCGCCAAGTGTTATGCTGGTATTATGTATTGTGAAATTTCGGATAAAAAAAGCTTCAATCTTGTTTGAACACAGGAACCGCACACGACGGAATAAAGTGCACTTTTTGTGGTATTCATCTCATTTTGTTGAAATATGCTTTGAGAATTCTGCTGGTTCGAACTACAGTACATGCGGCAAAGCAGGACAACGGATTGTTAAGTGCTATACTTGGTTCTAAAAACAAGTGGCAAGATACTCGAAAATTTGCTTTATTAGAAATATATTATACCGGAAAAACAGATCTGCATGTTTAAGGTGAAAATGCCGACGGCGCACAGTGTGTTGCCAGTGCCAGCATATAAATTTTGAATACTTTGGAATTCACAACAACCATGCTTTTTCACAAGGAGAGATATTCAAAGGTAAATCACGTTGGACAAGTAACCTTTGTGGTAATATTACATAAAAGAACCGCGGCATCAATACAACATAATCCGGCGCACGAGCAGGGGTCGTCACGGACTACTTGACAACAGAATCCATGGAGATCCTGGCACCGGCCACCCCACCAGCATGCTGAAACGGGCCCTTTATTCAGAAGGTTTGGCAGTGTTCATAGAAAACTTAGCCCGAATTCGCAAAACGTTTTTAGTCGTTCTACCAGCTCGTTTTCATTTAATTGGAGACTGTTAGTTTTTATTCAACTGGCGCATGCCGGCTACTTTAACAACTGGATATACTGATAATTTAGCCTGTTGTTCACTGCAAGTGCGGCTTTCTGCCGACTTTCGCACCTTTGCTTTAAAAAAATTGGAACTTGAAATTCAAGTTATCAGGTAATACATACCTGCGCATGCGTTCTGGCTGTTCGGATGCGCATCCCCAGAACAGCTCCAAGGGTACTTTGACGCTGTTGTGTTGAAGGATGCAATAGTAGTTAGGCCGTAATCGGTGGGGGACTGGCATAACACGATGGTAGACGCTAACAACAGATTGAAAATTTTTACATTATGGTTGTAGCCTGTACGCACGGGGGGACATTTTTGGGTACTCACGGGTGTTGGCTGTGGGCACGGAGTTGGGGAATGGGTACTGGCTGGCAGCACGGGATTCCTGCACGGGCTTTGGATGCGTGCACGGATATTTTATTTACTTATAAATTTATTTAATTAAAATTTATTTACTAAAAATTTAAAGTCTTTGTATACTTTTCTTTCTGGTTTTTTTACATAATCACTATCGAAATTTGTCACAAAATGAGTACTCTTTTAACAAAAATACAGGTAGGTAGTACTCGGTTCCATTTGAGAGAAAAAACGTTCATGTTTTCTTCATCCAAACTCGAAAGGATGTCCTCAGGATGGGCGTTTTTTTGAGTTCCAAAAAGCCTCGTTGACCGAGGAACTGCAGTAGTTTCGTAGATCATGCATTAGAAGCAAAAGTGTACATTAAAATGACCTCCATAAGTATACTGAAACAGCCGTTTTAAAGGCGGCGTGACGTGCTCCGAGGGAGTTTAAAGTACATCAAAAACTTGCTTGCCGCAGAATCGGGGTATTGCAAAGTTTGTCATATATCATAAGTATTGTGAATGTGTTCCCAGCTCATGCTTGTTAATGCGGTACTGTGAATTACTTGAAAATCACAACAAGAAGACTCGAAAATCAATTCAGCCAACACGTAAACCGGTAAACGTAAAGATCTCAAATTTTACAAGCCGCGCACGCAGCCAACACCCGTGTTTTCCCGTGGCATTGACCAATTTTTTTTTCTATGTTCGTTGCTCACCTGATCCCACGAAAATCCACCTTAATAAAATCGGAAACGACGGCATGCTCGAAAGTCTCGTCCTGTGCGCCCGTTCCGCTTCAACACGAAGAGACGCGCTGTTTTTTTGACTCGCAAATGACGGTTGTTACAACAAGAACACGCAGTTCTGCTGCGTTAAGCATACGGCGTACTGCGTGTGCTTAAATGCTTTCAGCAGTGCCTGGTGCTTAATTATTGTTCACTTTCGTCGTATAACGGTAAAATGCGCTCATGACAAGGGTAGCGTTGAACGAAAGCAGAGTTAACGTGTTGCACGAAGACAGAGTTAACGTTCACCGTATTCGTTCGATTTTGTGGTCGTCGACCATCATGTGTTTCGTTAGGTACAATACTAGCATATGTGTAGCGGAGCAGCTGAAAAACGAACTAGTTAGCAGTCAATAATTACGTATTATCGAACATCAGAGCAAATCTTGCTAAAGGTTGTTTGTGCGTCGCTTTGGTTTCGAAAAGTCACAAACAGTACGAGTATGGCTGTTCTTATTACTGCTTTCCTGCTAAACTACTCTATACTACGCGCGTACACATAAGCACCGCGCCAGAAAACAAGAATAATATAAAAACCACAATGAAACAAAAGGAAGCAAGAAAACAGAAGAATAACATACGAATGACATATCGAAACCAATAAAAACGCGCATCTTTTGGATGGCGAAAGCGAATGCGCACCGGTCAAAATGCTAAGGCGAAGAGAACGCGGAAGCCGAAGGCGGACGGTACGCATACCTAGGGTTTGGCCAGTGTGGCTTTATTATTGTAAACCTTTCGTTCTCAATAAAGTGCTCGCAGATAGTTTGCCTTTATTCGACAGCACTTTTTAAACTATTTTATAAATTTATTTATCTGTTAATGTTTCCTAGTAAAATTTTCTAAATTTTTAGGTCGTCATGAAAGTGAGCTGATATAGTGAAAGAATTTTTTATTTCGTTTTGGGACAAATTGGTTGGGACATATAGTACGCTGGGACATTTCGGTTTAGGACATACTGCTTTGAAACAATTTAGCTTTGCAACATTATGACGCAAGACGTCTGGTCGCGGGCAGTTTACCGCAAATAAAGCGATACGCTTAAAGTTCACATATCTTTAGGCTACATTCTTATCATTTCTTCTGTTTTCTTGTGTTTTATTTCATTTTCTTATAATTTTTCATGCTTCCTGTTTTATATGTTGCGCTTTACGTTGAAGTGTCTTGCCGTGGAAACGACCCCGCGACCCGCGAACGAAATGTTTCGCGGCATGGTGTCCTGCCAACTAAATGTACTGCAACGAAATGTCGCTTGGCAAATTGACGTCGCCGCGACATGTCTGCGATCAATGTCCTGCAAATAATTGTCCTCGGCAAAATGTCGCGGTGCCATAATGCCAGTGTGGCAGGAAACGTTGAGCAAACAGCAGGTGTCGATTTACGCAGTCTGGAAAAAATTAGCACGATGTGTTTTCAGCTTGAACCAACTGGCACTTGCTCAGCGCATGACGCTGATGGAGCAACGCATTTCCGTTGATTTATCCGCTTACTCCACGATTGCGAACGGATCTGCGGAACCGGACAGTGACTCTGATGGCACATGGGAAACGGATCAACCAGCTTGCGAAGAGCCGTTGACGAGTAAACCGGTTGCTGCCAGCGTCCGCCCCTGCTTGCTCTACCGAATTCTCGGCATCGAACGCGGTCTGGATGTTTTTCTGGTCTTTTTAGCAATGCTGTTCAGCTTACTGGGTTTGATGTTGGTCTCCGGGGGAGTAGCAGCTATAATGAGCATATCTAATGAGCCCTTTCCCAAGGCCCTGCTTGCCTTTGTTCTGATTGTCGTCGTGGTCTTCAACCTGTACACCAGGATCATGCCACTCATCATCGGTTTCTCTGCCCTTAATATGTTTGGTTAGCAAATATCTTGCTTGTTATTCGGAATCATATTACGACCTGTATCGCTCTCTTTTAGTGCTCTTTTAGTTCTGCTACTCCTTTAACTCCTTAGCAATGTGGCTTGTTTTAACATTGCTTCTATAGCACGTTTTGACGAATAATGCAGCGGAATCTATAGAAACACTACGAGCACAAGCTCTTGTACAACTTTTTGCCCCCCCATTAATATGTACATCATAAACCTTTTTGTCTCATGAAAATCACTAAAACTCGAATTTCAACTAATGACTTTTATGCTTGTCTGTATCCCCGCCGAAGCTGTCTGGCATTTTCAAACACCGTTAACTACGAAATTAAATTATGTATGAAGAATCAGATCAGAAGAAAAGATTGTTCCACCTTAAAAGTTAAAAAAGTGGTAAACACCATAAAAAGAGCCAAAAACATTAAATGCCAAGAGCTGCTCGCTCTGCCTGTTACAAAAGTATAATAAGTTCAATTAGCCTCCATTTCCAGTGCTACGCCGACCACCAGAAAATTTCGAAAAGCTAAAAGGACCTGCTAAAAGGCTGAGGATTTTTATGTAACATTACAACATAAGTTACTGGCCTGCTCTCGATAACCGATGATCCTCGAAATGGAACCTCTCAGCAGAGGCTTCTATTTTTAACGATTAGTCTGGGAATAACGCTAGTGATGGCCGCGCCGTTGGACACAGGAGATGCCGACATGGAGCCTCTGACCAGTAACGGGGCATCGTGCTCCCGACCGGAGGCCGCCTTGAACACCGACGAAAAACTGCAGGCGCTTATTGAATGCGTTCATGCTGTGAGGTGAGCGTTACTTTACTTAAACGTATTGTTTTATTTAGAAAATTGCTTTTCTTTTTTTATCACCTGTTTTCGGAGCAAAAAAAAAGTTAATTTGATTACTAATTTCTTACCAATATAAAATGGACTGCATTTTTTTCGCTGTAAAAGGCTTGGCTTCGGACAGGTATTCCATCCCGGTTCGGTTGTATGATTTCAGCATTCTGCAAATAGTCTGTGTAGAATTTTTTTGCATCCACAGTGTATTTATTCTTCTTTATCCCGCTTTTATATTATATAGAAATGCCGCTTTCTTGTTTTGTCTTACCATATTCCAAGCATTTCCGCGTATTCCTAACGTGTTGCGTACTTAAAACAGAAGAATACGTTGGAATATAACTAGAGGATGACCAACATATTTCGTAGAAAAGAATATACGTACCGTAATTTAGGTAAAATACAGCTGGAGTTCATAGTAATAATTATGGGCAATATGATGTATTTGTCGATGAACCCTGGAACAATAAGAACCCGTGAGCGCAAAAAATTCAGAATTATACAGATACCCTGAGTTTTAAGCACCTCGAAATTCTTCTAAGTTCTGGGCGCGGTGGTAACAATGAAACCGTATCCTGGAAGATTCTGGTAATGAGGATGGGGACTCTTGTGTCGACAGTTATTGATCTAGCCTGAAACATATATTTACGCGTACAATACAGTGTCACTGACTTTTAGCTCGCCCATACGTCGCGTGCGTCACTTGTGACTCATCCGTTCAGGTTATAGATCGACAAGCAGGGAAGTTTGTAACGCCGGTTGCAGTTTTGCGGTAAACCTAGTGCGCCGGAAGGATATGCATTGTAGCCTTATACTCGTCCCGGATTACGGGTTTCTCACATTTCTCTCTTCACTGTGACCGGGTTTACAATGGAAGGTCAAATTTCTTTGAGATACTGCATGCCGCGGCTAAGTAATGCACGACTGGTGAGCGCCAAAAATTGCGGCATCGCTGGTGTGATACGTCACGCACAATCAGTCAAACCTAATTTTCGGTAAAACTAGACACTGCTGCTCTTCCCTGGCTGACGGTAGCTGTACGCTCAGTTGAATGCGATCCAGCCGATCATGAAATGTCATTACTATCCCAATCTTCCTGAACGCAGTGTGGTGCCTTGAAATGCAACACAATGGAGTGATTGAGTTCTATCCGTTACGGAAGTAACGCTACGATGTCACCGCAGTTAGCACCACGGGTGCTGCACCAATGATGTTAACGCTAGCTGCCCTAACATAACAGAGCTGCACAGAAGGGCGGCATTTCTATATAATGTACATGCTTTTGCTTTTTATATATGCTTTTTGTCCTATATACAAGTTCGTCGACAAATCGAGCATGTAAAGGTACAGGCAAAGCGTAAAAAGAGCGCGATACTGGCGCGTTGGTAATTGGTAACTGCACTACGCCCATTTCAATGAAAATAATAATAATATACAGTAAATTCTAATACGAACCGAATACGAAAAAATAATCGTATATAGAATAGCTAAAGCAAAGCAAATAAAAAAAAGGATTCATTTGATAAACATGTTGTACTTCTATATTTGGGGGGCACAAGCATAATCATTGTAGCGTGGCGTGCCGTAGCAGGGCGTTTGCCGTAAACATGATTTTGAAATTTACGTTGTATTTACTGTTTATGTATGCCCAGTTCAACAGCGTGTAAAGTGGACACATAACGGGTGACGTAAAATTTTGTACACCTGGTATACAAGTATTAAGCATGCCGATGCAAAATGTTACAAATAGAGGATTTCTTATCAACGTTATTGCGATAAGTCAAGGCGACCTGGCTCCGCTCAAACTGTACAAAATTTCGGTAAGTGCAAGGTGCAGTAACCTTAATTGTACAATTCAACAGCCCAAACGCCAGCACGAGGGCAAGTCAACATATCGTTAGGCTGTGGTACTCTTGAACAAAAGCGCATGGCTCTTGATTTTGTTGAAACAGACATACTGACACCACGTGTAATGAACGGAAAGGTCGTGGTCAAGCGTACAATAGCCATGGGTGGAGGCGGGAGCGGGCGCTTGACGGGACTGTTACAACGTGTGCAACAGTAATCCTGGGGAACTGCAAGCGACAAGAATAATGCCGCGTAAAACGATCTTTTCTGGAAAAAGACTCGATATCGATTGCTACGACTGCTTCTGTTCTGGCACCCGGTATAGTACGACCTCGCATCGCACCTCGTATTATAATACGCACTTCGTACTATTGTGCGCTTGCGGCAAATGTAGAACAAGAAATCGAGTAAATTAATAAGCAGATAGTCTAAGTTTTGTCGAATATCCAGGTGACATAAAAAATGTCGAATAAACAGAATAAAGAACTGATAAGCAAGAGGCAGTGCAAACAACATAAAATTAATCGTAGAAAGTTTTTTGCCAAGCCAACACTTTGTACAATCTCTGATTTCCCATTGGCGGTTATAGCGCAGAACAAAAAGCAGAAGGCCGTACCGAGAGTCGAACTCGGGTCGACGGATTCAAAGTCCGACGTGCTAACCACTACACCATACAGCCGCCATTCCTATCATATTTGGTTTCGTTTATTCAACAATATAAGAAAATTCCGTGTTAAAGAAATGGTGCGCTTTGAGTTGCTGGAAGTGGCGAACAGAAGTGCTTGGTTAGGCATTTCCTTCAAGTGCTCTCCCATAGAGGCTAAGCAGTGTTAACAGCAGTTAGTGTTACTGAATGCATTCAGTAATGTAGCTGTTTCTACAGCTAACTCCTTTTATTTTTTATGCAGTACAGATATGAACAAAACAAAAACAATTAATACTGGTAGGCTGCATACATACTGTAGGCATAATTTAAGACAGAAAGGTGAACCAATTAATAGTGATCTCAATGCAGTCAGCGCAGTGTGCATACGAGCAAAAAAATGGTTTCTTTTAAACGAGCTTTACTTTTTTCAGTGCTAATGTCTACATTTGGTAGGCCAACTGGATATACATAGAAGTATGTATCGAATGGCTTTGAGTATGGGAACGCAGGGTAGCTTTTTGGTCCCTGCTGTTGCGTTGTCGCTGTTGGTGAATATAAAAGTTCCTCGTCGACGGCTTCCTGATCCTAGATTTTGTTGTGCATGATGAAATTCTTCTTCAGGCTGCACAACTTCCAATTGGCACGGATCTCCGCACCGGAAGTGCCATTAGCGTTGAGGCCGTGCAGAGAACTATCAGTATTGCTTATGGCTTTGTAATGTATAGGACAGTTAGCTAGCTAAGTGAAGTTAAATTCGTGGTAAATTCCATGTACTTCTTTGTTTCGCGCAGGCTCAGCCCACTTTCTTTGTCATGCCTGGCGAATACGTGTTAGCTGCCGCCGGCCGTGCACGCGGCCCGATTGCCTTTCGCATTCTGTTCCGATCAGTCGTGTTGTCGAGCTGTTGTTTATCATTGCGTTGATTAGCTCTCTCCTGTTTTCATTTTCAGCACTTATTTTTCCTCAACAGTTTGATAAAATTAAGACAGTAATTCCACCTGTGGAATCGGTACATAATGCCTCCAGCCACCAGAAGCAAGAAGACGGCCAAAAAACACCGGAGAGCCCCTCGCCAAAAAGTACCACCAAAACAGCGCCTGAAAAGCATCATAGTTCGCCCTGAACCATCTGGATCGAGTGAAGTTCAATTAGTAGAACCTACTCTTCAGTCTGTCCTTCAGCAGCAGCAAAAACATCAGCAACAGCTGGACTCGCTGCTCGCCGTAATGAGAACTCAGCTGCCTCAAGCGGTGCGCCCCTTGTCCCCTTCGTCAAACCTTCAGATCCAGCTTGGTGACGACTTCGGGAGAATCGTGCATCAGGTGGACTCCGTAAACAAGGCAGATGGCGGAAAACGCAAGCGCCGTAGAAATCGAGGTGAGAAAAGTGGTTCCTCATCCTCTGAACAGGACAGCGACAGCAATAGCTCGCCAGAGCGTAGCGCAGCGCCTCAGCGCCATGGCGACCGCCCCGAGATGCTCGGCCGCTTAGGGCCACCAGTGCTGCAGCCATCTACGTCTGATTACTCTGTTCATCAGCTGCCATCGATTCCTGATAAAAAGCTACGAAAGAAACTGCTGGACTTTGAGGAGTATGTGGACTTCGATCTGTTGCTGCGGCGAAACAGGGTCGAGAAGCCCAAAAAACTGCAGTCTAATCTGTCCTTTGTGGACGGGAAAATGACGCTCACCCCTGAAGATGGCAAAGTCAGAATTGACTCGTTCGAGGCATGGGCAGGAGCCTTTTCCGTATTTGCCAGCTACCGCATCACCGTCGCACCGATGTTATCTGCGAAGTTTTTTAAATACCTGGCCATTATTGCGTCGTACGCTGAGCGTGATGTCCCGACCGCTAACTGGCTTGAGTACGACAGGCAGTTCCGTGCGTTTATTACCAGCCACCCGCGGGAGTACGATCTCTGGGCGCATCAGCACGAAGATACGTACATTGATTGTATCCAGAACCCGCTTCGTAACACGCGTGTAGAGCCGACTGACAATATTCGCCGCGTGAAGGAGCAAAAGAAGGACGACGAATGCCGCAATTGTGGCATGGCTGGGCACTTTATTAGCAGCTGCCCGCTGCCACGGAAGGGGCAACCAGGTTATGGGCAGCCCATCCAAAACGTCGCCGCCGCTGAAGGAGAAGTATGTCGCAATTTTAATTTCGGCAGCTGCACAACGCCCTGCAAAGCGCACCGGATTCACACTTGTTTCCGGTGTGGGGATTCCAGCCACCGGGCCGTCAACTGCACGAAAACCGACCCTTGAGGTGACACTGCCAGTGGATGCGCGTTCCCATGCGCCACGCCTTCGCCATCGCCGGACTGCTTGCCTGACTGTCTCCATAAATGACAAGATAAAACCAACTTTACGATGGCCGCATCGGTGTGCCTGAACCTGAACCCTACCCAGCCGGGCGCTGGTGATGTCATCACACAGCCGCTACCCTCAACACCTCGGGTCACCTCAACTTATAACCTTTACCTGACCGGACAGATTGTTTGGGGGCAGTCGGGCGAAAGTGGGTATCGGACACACGTCAAGGTGAGGTCGCACCTGCACCTTCATTGTCGCATACGCCGCCGCGCCGCCGACCTGCACCACCGCAAACATGTAATCTCATCCGTCGCTACATGCTCATTCAGTCACAATCGTCGCTTAGGCACAATGCCACCGGACACTGGATGGATATCGCCGTTAGAACCGCTAACCAACTGCCTGACAGCGAAATCCAGCTGGACCGACGCTGGCGAAGCATCTGCCTTACTGGTACATTTCACCACACCGGACCACCTCCTATCGTGAACTCTTACCGGACGGAGTAATTTGTTTGGGGGCAGTCGGGTGGAAGTGGGGATATCGGAAGCTCGAACCGGTGAGGTCATCACCTGCACCTTCGACTTAGCATATGCCGCCGCGCCGCCGACCTGCTCTACCCGAGTTTCTGTACTCGCATCGAGATATACAGACGTCTGTTGTTCAAATAACCACACTTGCAATTAACAATTGTAAATGCAAAGGATTGGAACGGCGAACGGAGAGCACCGATAGAATTTCGGAAGCAGTTTATTGGATAGACGCCAGACCAAGGAAGTACTACAATGTAAAAAAATGGAAACCAACCGAGATGCAATAGTCACCGCACAAAAGTGCTGGCGTTTTCCAAACTGGAAGGAACAGTTACAAAGTGTGCAAGAGAGAAGAAAATTCGTATTCGTCGTTTATATATTTATCTAACATACAGGAATATAGTGCTAAGCCAAAAGGCAAGATTTTTAGAGAATTAAAATGAGAACTGAATGCTAAAAGCGGCACAAATCTACTGACTTGTAAACGAACAATAAGTCAGATATTCGCTAACGAAACACATCAACGGCTGAAAAACCGATAAGAAGTGGCATGACCCTCGTGTACAAATTGAAGACTCCCACTGCAACCACGACAAGGACGACCAGTGCGACAATCACGGGCTGCTTAAATACGCTCGCGATAACTGATACCCCCATGCCGACCATCAGCACAACCCCTGAACTGACCACAATTAACGCTATAACTGGTAAAATCTCCGAGCTGCTTTCGATGCCGAGGATTCGGTACAGCAAAGATGGGCGATTGCTAACAGGAACGGGTTTTCTCGTCCACGGCTCTTCGCCAACGGGTGGCAAGGATTCCGGGATGTCGTCATCGTCACTGTCCGGCTCAGTAAGTACGTCCGTAAGGGCGGAGTAATCGGGCAATTCAACGGAAATGCGTTGTTCCAACAGCGTCATGCGCTCAGAAAGTGCCTGCTGGTTGATGCTGAAAATAAATAGTGCCATATTTTTCGAGGCCGCATAAAACCACACTGGCTCCGTTAAGTAGAGATTCTACCGATTTCGACCTCTTTTCACTGTTCTCGCTGGCGAAATGCGTGTCCTTGTGCTGCATGCTAACTATGCATTTCACCAAACACTATGATATTTTCACTACATAAGTTAGAAGTTTGAACTCGGTTTGGGTATTTTAAAGTGTAAAAGTTACTGATTTAAAGTCGTTATTTTGCGGACGCAATAACAATTCAAGCAGATTTTTTAAATTTTTCATTCAAGCACAACAATGTGCTCCGATGGAATGACTAAAGTATTGTGGAGCGATTTTTCAAAAAAACCCATCCGGTGCTGCAAAAAACAAACTTTTTTACACCCAAAGTTACTTTTTTTTATTTGTTAAAGAGTACATAAACATTTTCCACGAAAACGCTTCACAATTCTTTTTGAAAATGATTTTTCTGAAGTCTGATCAAAGTTAGAAATTTTCTGAAACCTTTGCGAATTGTTATTGATTTTAGAAGTTGTTTTTCGAAAATTGTTCAGGATGGGACGAAGAACCTTCTTTTGTACTGCGCTTTCCTTTGGTCTTACCGATTCTGCGCATGCAGTGCCGCCACACTAGATTGTGTGCACACCGAAGAGTGGACTTTGGCCACTCTTTCAGGTGCACTCACGGGACAACGCTATATCTTTCCATTGTCTAGCGCCTTTGTCATGCTCTATGCGTCCTCACTGTGTAAACATGAGCCTTGTCTGCTCCTACCACACTTGCTAACTGGCATGGTATATAACACCCACAAGGCATCTTTCAGAATGAAAGAAGCGCTTCTTGAAGCAATCTTTCTTTCACTGATTTTGACCACAGGTGGCAGTAGTGTAGAAAGATACGCCAGCCCGCCAAATCGCTCCTGGTCGGCAACAAAAAAACTTGAATAACTTTTTTCTTTTCACCGTAATTTTACTAAACTTCCGCCCAGTGATAGATGTAACCCTTCTTATTACAACTGTAGAATTTCGAAAATCTCGTTTTCTATCTTGCGACCATAGTACAAATTCTCCTTAAACGCTGCCCATTTCGTATCACATACACGTATAAAATTTATCCTTTTATTATCAGCGTCTTCCACGTATTCGCATCTTCTATGTTCTACCTGTATCTTGGCTGATACACGGTATAATCGCTTTTCGTACGGCGACTTGTGCCTGCGGTATTCCTCTAGTGTATTACCGTGTTCCCACGTAATATCCCCTATTTTTTATCGTTAAACGTCTATTTAAAACGGAAAGGCTGCTAACTAAAACGAAAAGAAATGCGTGGTGAATACGGGCAAAATGCGGATGGAAGACGTGGGAATATGGTAACACATAACAGGAAAACCGCAGTCGTACCGAAAAGCGATGTACTAGTAATGCTGTAACGGAGAAAATACGGTGGACACACTGTATCCTGCTACATAAAAATTTTAATATATTATACATATACGGCCTTGCTCTTACGATAAACTGATTTTTACTCCAAAACATTAGGTTTTAAAAGAAAAGAGATTTCTGCAGCTATAGGTCAAAGCAGAGTAATACTCACCTCACCGCATGAACGCAGTCAATAAGCGCTAACAGTTTTCCGTTCGTAGGCAATGCGGCATCGGGTCGGCGACACAACGGCCCGTCCCCAGTGGTCGGAGGTTTCGTGGCGGCAACTCCAATTTCTGATGGCACGGCTGCCACTAGCGTCAGTCCCAGACAAATCGTTAGACATGTAAACGTCTGCTGGATCATGTCGCATGTGATTTTTTCAAAAACCATGGAACTGTAGGAACGCTTGAGCGAAAGAATATTCAAAATATCGTTCTAGGCGCCCGGAACGTCTTTAAAGATGAAGGCGGTAGTAATTTTGATGAAGAGTATCCTCGAAGATGCTAAGGACGAGAATGCGGCCTGCTTTGTGGAAATCGTTCATACTAGAATAAATCCTCATGTTCGATACAGTGTGTCTGAGTTTTGCCCCGCGCATACTCCGCAATCGTCACTTGTGAGTCTGTGACTCATCTGTTCATCCCATAAATCAATAAGCAGAGGAAGGTGTCACGCAGGTTGTGTGGCAAGTTTAATGCGCCTGGAGGAAATTTATTGCAACCTTATATTGATCCCGGATTACCGTATTTTTTTCTCGCTTTTCCCCGCACAGTTGCCGGACTGCCAATCGAAGACTGGGAATAGTGCATGTCTTGGTTAAGTATTATACGGATAGTAAGTGCCACAATTCCGGCAAGCCATGGCACGCAGTTCGGCCGGATATAATTTTCGATAACTAGCTACCATTCCCGGCTGACGTCAGCTGTACTTCCAACTGGATGCGATCCCTCTGTTCCATGAAAAGTAGTATCATTGTTCGTCAGTCTTCCGGAGCGCAGTCAGTATCCTCTAAACTCAAGACATTGCGGTGATCGATCTCTAACTTTAACCTATGATGTCACCGCAGCCAGCACCGGTGTTGTCAGAGCGAGCTGCAGTTACATAGCAGGGCTGTTCCATAAGTAGGTATACGTAAATGCCCAGTATTAGGAATACAGACTGCTTGCCATGCATAATGCTATCGGCGCAAATCCGATGTAGAAAAATTTCACATGATCTTTGCATACTGCGGAGGAGACCGTAATGTGGCGGTATCGATAAGAGATACTGCATCCGAATCCTGACAACGTGATAATAATAACAAAAGCCACCGCACAGAAACCGAATGCCACGATTGAGTTTTATGTATAGTATTCGCGATAGGTAAACGGGCAACGAACGGTTGCTAAACGACAAGGCGGTCCTTGAGATACACCCATACCGTTATGACGCTGAAGATGTCATACAAGTACTGCAGTTAGATAGGATGCACTCCGAACAGTCCTGTATTCCGGTGTGGATGCTACACAATCCGGCCTATGGATCCCGAGAGCTCTATGGAGCTCTGTGAACGTAAAAGTGGTGTCTGGTGCCCGTTCACTGAGCGTTCAGCGTACCATTGTTCCAAACAGTACCGTGTTATTGTCCGCTGGGAAAAGCATTTATTTGACAGCTGGTGATTACCAAGACTTAAAGCATCCATAATTGACCCGTATCTTAATAAGTAATAGCGCACTGCTTGGAGTATGACAGCTGCAAATTTTTGTCTGCCTTTAGGATTACACAATGCGTCAAGTACTGTACTTACTGCGACTGTGAACATCTTCCCGTTTTCGCATACACTGTACAGGGATGTATTGTGTATCAAAATTTCATAACTCGATTACTCTCGTTAATAAAATTCTCGGTAGCGCTAAGAAACTGCATAGACGCTTCGCATGATAACAACCGGAAAACCTGTGCGTTGGCGTACCAGTCGAAAATTGTGTTTACCCAGTTAATGAACGTCCGCCAGCGCTTTGCGGGTTTGCGCTAATGTCTCTAAAATCGTGTCCAACTGGGTTTTCCCGTTAATCATCTGCTGGAGTTACTGTAGCGGCGAATTAGGCTTAAAATATTAGCCTACGGTTATGCCTCGCCTCGTAAAATTAATTTGGTATTACTGCAGAATACAGTATGCGTTGTTCGGCACGTGCTGCACATGTGCTTTGTAAGCTAAAGAATCGAAGACGGACTGCGGAACGGCATCACGAAGCTCAGCTTTGATATACTATTTCAGGTTTGAGCACTGAAATTTTAAGGGCAAACATTTTTTCAGTTTGATCTGGCAAATATCGAGCGAGCGAATACAGAATAATTTAGATAAATACCTACTTGTACTTAAGCCAATGTTTAATAACAACACCACCACTTTGCTCAACAGCAAGTCCATCCCGGCATATGTACGCTGGGCACCGTAGCCTTTTTACGTCTCTTAGGCCTCGTCCCGAATTCAAAGGGAATCTCGTTGCGATACAGCAACTCTACCTCGCGAGGTGGCTTCGCGTACCGTATCTGTAGGCGTGGCCACTGCATACAGCCACCTCGTGCGGTTGAACAACCGTACCATAGCGAGATTTGCTTCGAATTCGGGACAAGGCCTTACTATCACCATAGCTGCGTTTATCCGGATTGCTTATCCTCCACGTTGTCCGCCCCTGCTACATGACCAACTTCACCGTGTATATCTTGGCGCTGTTTACCGTCATCTATATGATCGGTGTGCAACCGTGGCAGTTATACGCGGATCTACTGGACGTCGATATAGGCCGATTTGGCTGGAGCATATGCATACGGTACACATACTGTTTGCGAGTGGTCAGCGTGATACCGTTATGGGCGCACGTCCAGATGGCCGTCAACCGGATGGTAGCGCTTCGTTTCCCTGTTTTCTACCGCGAGCATCACACCAGGAAAACCGCGTTGATGATCTGCGGCGGTACGATTATATTTGTTCATGCGTTCTGCTTATCGGGAATTATCAGTAGCATCCCGTATCGCTTTCGCGCCATTATGGATCTTGCGCTAATGATCTCGTGGCAATTTATTATTGGCGCCAAGTGGACAATAATATCAATCGTATAATCCCAGTGTGTCTGGTTTTTTGTATCTATTCGTACGTTTTTGTTCGACATCTCCGTAAAAAATTTAGACCAATTTCAGGAGGCAGTTTTCGACTCCAGAGACGGCGCCGAACTGGCAGTAATAACACTGACGTACTCGGCGGCTAATAATCATGTGACACCAACGGCATCCAAATCACCTCACGCACGAAATGCGGAGCGGCTAGAACCAAACAGTTCATCATCTTAAGCTTCCTGACTGGGTCGGTACTTATCTGTTGGTTTCCGGTCAATATCATGTATTTTATCCTAACGTTCTTTCACATCAGCGTTTCCAACGAATGGTACTTTGTCGGTCATGCATTTTTTAGCCTGCAAATCCTCTGCGATCCAATAATCTGGGTACTGCATTTCTCTGCCTTACGGTGCGACTGCCGAAAACGGACAGAGTAGCTGCAAACAGCAAAGATCATTTAATGTTATTTATCAATCTACATGTCTCGATGTCGTTTCATAAGCCAACAAGAACTGCACTGCTGCAGCAGATATTTTACCCGAGACCAACTTTGATCTTGCATTTTTGCTGTACTTGTTATCAAGTCTACGCCTAACCTACGAATAATAATTAAAGTATACAGGGAAGTGAGGACTAACGGGCAACCCGACTCACGGTTCGAAAAACCTTGAAAACATCGCTGTGCCAGGTTTTGATGTTCTTCGATCTCCCGGCTCCGGAATCATTGGATTTTCTGCGTCCCTTTTTAAGGCAGAACTGAATGGTGTTGAATAAATCAAGTGTACAAGCGTTTAGCGATAATAAAATTAATATCGCTTCATTAGTTTTCGAAGCGCTTTTCCATGTGGAAGAAAGCGGAGACATCTGTGTCGTTTGTTTCTGAAATGCGAAAAAGCAAAATTTGCACGGTTAATAATCAAGTGTCCGAAATGCAAAAAAAGGCATCGAATTGCTTATAAAATGTTTGCCATTAATAATTACTACGATACGTATTACGGCAAATACTGCGGCAGCGTGTGCTTAAGCACTTGCAGAAAATACCGTAATGGAATAATGTTTAAAACGCATTAATATCAGTAAGCACGTGCGTAGATTATGATGTATTGCATACGTTGGCATACATACGGCACGTAATACAAAATAACGGTAAAAAAACAGCTCTTGTCCAAATGTTACACCGTAATACTGATAGTAAAATTAATAGAAGTACTAGTACAGTAACTTCAAGCCAACAAAACGATGACATTAAACGAGCGAGCCACTTGTACGTTTGCTCGTATGCATGTTTGTTCTTTTGTTTGGCAAAAGTACGTTGCTGCGCTACAGAGGCACTTGTGCACAAGTGATACTGTTGGCCGTCAATATTCACAAAATCAAACGAACATAATACAGTGATAATTGCATTTTCTTTGGAACTGCATTTCACGACTCACGACTACCATGATAGACATCCATCATTTATGATTGACTATGAAAGACAACGAACGCACTGTCGCATAGAAAACCCACGCACTGCGCCAGTTATGCTAACTTTAACGTAGCCAAGTTCGGTTTGCCTTTTACAAGCCACCTTCTTTTTCGAGTCAAGGCAACAAATTTAATAAACAGCACCGCTGACGAATTGAACGAGATCGGTTGTAAAATGTTATTTTCAGTTTTATTTAGCTGGATTTTTTTTATATCAGGTAATATTATTAAGTGCGGCTTTACGTAGTATCATAATTATGCAGTATGATAAGCGAATATTTAATTATGCCATTTTGCCTGTATTCACACTCTGGATTCTGCAACTCAAACTCAACGAAAATAAAGCTGCATTTAATTCTTAGGGCCTGTCGGCGTGTTATGTCAGCCCACTACCGATTACTCTCCTGCATCGACCGTTGCATCGCTGAATACAACAACAGTACAGTATCCTTGGAGTTGCTCTGCGGACACAAATCCGAGCTTGATCGCATGCGGGAGTATGTAGAAACTTGTAATTTCAGAAGTTTTGAATTATTGATTTCACTCATAACCTCAAATCCGTGAATAAGCGGTTTGCTAATTCGAAAGTGGCATTTTGCTAGACCGATAATGAGGAAAATGATAAAAAAATGACGAATGTTTTGCAAAAATGACAAATGTGACTGCGTAAACCGTTTGAATAAGTACTACCCTAGTACTGCAGTACTTATGATTAGGTCGAAAGGAGAAAAAACGGTATCCACAGCCAGTAATGTTTTCGTGAACCTTGTTGATAAAGCGCTCGTTTTAGGCTGCTCGTGGGGTCATGAGTGTCAGCTTCTGCATGGATTCTGTTGTCAAGTAGCCCGTGAAAATCCTTTTTCTTGCGCCGGAAGATGTTGCTACGACATCGCGGCATCTCTGTGTAATATTACCATAAACGTCGTTTTTCCGCCGTAAGTTTATTTTAGGCAAGTGTCTTCTTATCACTGTGCCAGTGACCATCTCGTTTGTGACAAGTAACGCCAGCACTGAGTTCTATAATTATGCTGTCGGCATTTTCATTCACTTGTCCTGTTATAGATGTCTGCTTAATCTTCCCTTTCCAATCCTTTCTAATGAAGCAAATTTTGCACTACTTCACTTTGTTTCACATTCCGAACGTTGTCAGAATACAGTTTTACGTTCCATTTAAGAGTGCGATCGGGTGGACGGAACGTGAAACTGTATTCTCAAAACGGTCGGAATGCGATACAAAGCGAAGTATGCAGCCGCATGCTGCATCATTACCAAACAGCTTCCACCAAACACGGATTGTAGTTATTTGACTACATGGCAGGATTTTTACAGCAACAATGTACAGCAAAATCAATAATAATTATGGCATTGTTGAAAGACCGCATTAAACTGATATCAATGCGCTAATCGGTATATAAAGAGATTGAACCCATTATAAAATTTTGTATTACACGATAAAAAGTAGACTTCTTGAACTTGGGAACCAGAGAACCGAATTCTGACAAAAATGCGCATATTTTAGTAAGCCATAATCTAAAATGACGCCTTGTACGAAAATTCGGTGCTTGTGAGGAGATTATCCAGGGAAACATTTCTAGAACAGTCTACATTCAGCACTTCCGTACTATGGTCCCGCTTTCCCGCGATAGCATTTGACAGGTAATTCCCGATGACGAAAAGCTCACCTTGGTCTTTTTTGTCAAGCAGATATGGTTTCTCCAACAAGAAACGTCGCAAACGTGCAGCCGCAGTGGACAGCATAAATGTAATTCGTATAACCATCAACTGGAAAAAGACTTTTGGTACCATTGTGAATTTTCTCGTACTGGTACGCTGTGACCAGTAATGTTTCCAGCAGTAGACTGCGTACATAGATGGACTAAATCCGTGAACGTGCCTGGCTCGAGTGCTGCGATACTGGACCAGATAAACTCGATAATGCGTAATTGCGGCATGCGGCTGAAATCCTTCTTCTCAACCGGTACGTTGTCGCAGCTGGACATTTGAAAGCTGTACAGATTTGGAAGCCATCCCAGATCATACACCTTACCGGTGATGTTGACCGATTCACAATGCGAGACGGACAGAAAAACCGTCTGGTTCCGCACGGGGTCGACCACATCGCGCCTGGTGGTTTTTACAGCAATTTGGTGCCAGTATAAGCATGTTATTTCTATGTATGTGTTCAGCATTTCGTCCTTACGAGAATGTTCATCATTGACGACACACACCACTGCTACTAATCACTGGACACATGGCTCTGGACCTAATGTTTTGGGCGTACAGATCACATTCTTCTACCGTCAGCAAGTCGGTCCGAAATGGAAAAGTTGTCGCTGGGAAAACCGTTTCGCGTGATGCTGCTTGACTATGTGGGTTGCTGGTCGACGTGGTCTTATCCATATCACCAAACACGTCTAGCCAAAATATTTTCGGTTATACTGAATTTTTAAAAACCGAAAATAATATTACTTACTACGGCACTTCGACTTTTCTCAAACACAGATCATTTTTACGTTAGATTTTGAACAAATTATGATCCCACATATTCTAATAGCCAGATATTTCAAAAACTCGAAAATTGATTATTTTACGTAGCCACCACTATTACCTGGCGTTGGCACATAAATTTAACGCAAATCACAAGTGCTAATCTTACACTGAATAAAGTTTTGGGTACAAAGCTCTAAGACAGTCGTATGAAACTGCGAACACGTCAAAGGAACTGCAATCAGCTGTTTATCACTCCCGAGGATCACTCCCTTGCGTTGCGCAGCCACAACTGCAGCCGACGAATCGGCACTGGGCACGGTCATTTCTATGGAATTGCTTCCCGCTGCCAGGTTCCGCTCTCGTCCAGAATGCGCAAAAACATTATTCCGTCGTCGCATTTGATCCATAAACACGTACACGTAAATGCCCACAATCAGGCATAAAGGCAGCATGCGATTCATGATATTATCGGCGCGCATCCAGTGATAAAAAGCTTGCACGTTGTCTTCAACAACCCCGACGTGGGGCGTTATAGGACGGTAACGATAAGCGATGCTGTACACGAATCACGGCAATGAGATAACGTGGGCAAATACGACAGTGCCGAAACAGATAGCTATATCGGCTTTTCTCGTATGATGTGCACGGTAGAGAACGGGGCACCGGATGGCTGTTAATCGGTTGACAGCCATCTGAATATGCGCCCATACCGGTCCCACGCTGGTCATGCGTTGGCTCACTTGGCAGTAGTTGAGGACCATATACATCAACCAGCCGTAGATTCCGATGTTGATGCTGTAGAGTTCGGCGTACAATAACCACGACTGAACACCAATCAGTACTCTTTATTCACCTGTACGTATTGTTACATAATCAAAAAACATCGTATTGTTACATAATCAAAAAACATCACAATTTTACACCAGTCATGTATCGAAGTATAATGTTAGTGACAAACAACGCTAAAACGTACACGGTGAAGTTGGTGATATACGACCGTCGGATAGTGTGAAAAATGATTAACGAGGAGTTTAAAGTGAAGGCCGCTAATGTGACTGACACGTTCAAACAGAATGGGGCTGTCCAGCCTCCATTCATCGTTGTAATGTTGTATAATGTGGTTGCGTTATTGCCTATTTGAGCAATCATTTTGCTAATACAAAAATTTTTGATTAGTAAACCTAAGGGACCGATAACTTTAAACTCTTCCGCATTTCTATGGAGATTGCAACCGCAAATAAAATTCTACTGTTTGCGTGTCAATCATTTTGACATCTTTACAAATGCGTGCATCGGCCTACAGATACACACCGCGGCATTATCAAATTATCCACAAATAACTCCAGGACTTGCTTTATTCAAATTATCGGAGGAAGAGTTGCACGGAAGTGGTAAGGAATTTCATATGCAGTTCGGCCAGTAACAGGGACACTTGCGCGTCAACAAACCCAAACGGAAATTACACTGAACCACGTATATACGCTACAGAGACAAAATCTACTTTCTTCTCGCTGGTTTTTTAGGTGATCACGAATACTAATAAAGTTTGGGCAGGTAGCCATTATCCGACCCTATCCGAATGCTGCGGCAAGCTGTTCTTATACAAATCCTTATCCGAACGTTTTGGATAGTTACCCTTTATCGGTTATCTATTCGAAATTCGGATTCGATAAAATCGGATATTCCTAACTCATACTCCGCAATATCAGAGTGCTCGGTGAATAAAATTGTGAGAGCGGAAAACTTTTCTTAGAATTTTGTATGCATTGTATGGTTGTCCTGTTTGTTGTTGTATGTTTGTTGTTTGTTGTAAGTTGGACTTCTCCCCGATGAGAATGAGAACCACTGAAACGACATATACAGTATAACAAAAATTCGCACTCATTAGGATATAAACTAACATGGCGCATTGAATGAAAACTCAGTGCTGGTAAGAAGATTATTCAGGGTCATATTTCTCGAGCAGTCGACATTCAGAACGTCCGTGCTTTGATTACTCTTTCCTTCCACAGCAAATGATATGTAATTCCCAATTACGAACAGTTCGCCTGCATTTTTGCTCTCTATTAAATAGGACTTCTCCAAGATGAAACGGCGGAACCAAGCAAAAGAGCATTCGCAATGCAGGGCGTGAATAGAGCTAAGGTAATCGCCAATGGGAAAGACGCTTTTAGTACCATTATGATTTGCGTGGTACTGCAAAGTTCCAGCTATCCCCGCCTCCAGTAGCAGAGTGCGTAGATGGACTAAATCGGTGAATGTGCCCGGCTCCAGCGTCTTGATAATGGATTGATAAAACGTAATCATGCGTACTTGCGGCATGCGGCTAAAATCCCTCTTCTGAATCGTCATGTGGTTACAGTAGTATACCCCAAAAGTGTACAGATTGGGAAGCCAGCCCAGTTCATACACCTTGCCTGTGATATTGGGTGAATCACAGTTGGAAATAAATATGTGGACTGTCTGATTCCGAACAGGTTCCACAATATCGGCCGCCACCAAATTGTGCTCACCCGGAGCCTCTTTTAGATCCAGGAGAACGGCGCGTTGGGGACTGATTTCGTGGATACCTTTGGTGGTGTTCACAGCGACCTGATGGTTCCAGTACATACTGCGCATATCGATGTACGTCTGCTGCATTTCGTAATTGTGAGGATGTTCGGGGTCGCCGATACAATCGTCAGTGGGATATATCACGGGACACATTTTTTCTGCCTTGAAATTCTGCACATACAGCTCGCATTCTTCTACCGTTAGCAAATCCGTCCGAAATGGGAATGTCGTGTCCGGGGAAACCGTATCGCTTACTGTTGCTGGAATTGGTTTGTTGCTGGTCGTATCCGTATTAGCAGACACTTCTGTACAAAATGTCCATGATTGATATTATTTAATTATGCCAGCATTTTATTTACTCATTGGCTTTATGCATTTGTAAGTCTAGCAACAATTTAGACAATACGTGTTTGTGTGAATATGCAACTGTGAAAGGTAAAGCTGGTACATTTTCTTATCGTTAATATCTGTCTGAACGATATAAAAGCTTAACATCTGAACAAAGCTTAATATCTGAATAAAGCTCTTACAGTACAAAGACTTAATTGTTACTAACAGGTACAGATACGCTTGTGAGATCGAATTTTCAGAAAACAAAAATGTTAATGTTACCAAATACGATGCAACTGTTCCGAGAAAGCGCCGTTCCACTATTAAAAGGTTAACGTCGTACAATATTAATAATGTCGTACCGTGCGCGTTATGGATAGCTAATATAATAAAAAGTCCGCACTTAAGTTTAGTCATGTTTATCTTGAATTGAACTAAAAGTGTAGATTACAGTATAGCTGTACAAACACCACTGAAAATCGTTGCAGCGATCTTTTTTTGCCGGAAAAGTGTCTGTGTTTTGCCTAACTAAGAGAACTCACTTTATGTCCAACCAACTACTCGTATTTTCAAGGCGTTTTGCCTCAAGGTGCGATTATTTAAGTTAATACGGCTAACCAAGTTTACTTCCGGTTTCAAACCTGTGGCCAATGTTTAGCGCCTAATCGTTATCTTTCTGTTTCTCGAATGCATAAATAGTCCATTTTGCTGCGACAATTACATATATAAATGCAGAGCAAGGTAAGTTTGATGCCATTCCATTTTAAGCCATCACTGATCCGTGCTAGTATCGTTAACTCGAAAGGAAAAATTAAAACTGGGGCAGATTTAGGCACGTTAAATTAACAGGTCACAGTAATACATGATGCATTATACGAAAACTTATTGCCTGTCCAAATATTTTTCAATGTAACATCGCGAGAACAGTCCACACTGAAGACAGCCGTACCATTCCCATTTCTTTCCACACCTTCTGACAAGTAGTTTCCAATTATAAACACTTCGCCGGGATCCTTTTCCTCTATCAGGAACGGATTTTGCTCCAGAAAGTTGCGTAACCAGGCGAACGAGCAATTGCAGTGCAGGTTGTGCAAGTAGTCGAGATAGTCGTCAGTGGCATAAGAACTGTAAACGTGGGCAGTGTTTTCTTTATTCAATAACGCTTTGATATAGTCTCTCTCCAGCACTAAGCTACGCAAATGAACCAAATCTGTGAAGGTGCCCGGCTCCAGTGTAGAGATAGTGGTAACATAAAACGCAATCATCCGTAACTGCGGCATTCGGCCAAAATCAGTTCTGCGGATTGTCAAATTCTGGCAGTCATTGAGAGCAAAACTAAACAGGTTGGGCAAAGTGCCAAGCTCGTAGACTTTGGCCGTTGCATTTGGTGAATGACAATTGAAAACGCCCAGGTCGATTATCTGGTCGCGGACAGGTTGGACAAGATCAGCGCTGACCGTATCTTCTTCATCGGGGCGCTCAAACAACGATACAAAGACTGCACGCTGCGGACTGATTTGGCTGACACGTTTGATGGTTTCGGCTGTTACAGTACGGGGTTCGAAGGTGCAGCCGATGTAAACGTACGTGTTCAACATCTCGGATCTCCGGGGATTTTCGTCCGTTATTTCACACAAATCGTATAAACCGGTTGTCAAAGCGCAGATTTTTTTCTTTAGCGCAAGTTTCACATAGCGATTGCATTCCTCCACAGTCAGCAAATCTGTTCGAAACGGATAGGACTCCACGGCTGAAGAAGCAACGTTGCTGGGTCCAGACAGGTTGTGCCAGTTGCATCCCGAGTTCGAAGAAACCAGCCCTCCTGCAGATGTTTTGCATCAGTGCGTGAAAACTAATCGTTTACTTCAGTGAGCGAGATATACAGTACTTCATTACAAGTAAATGTGTAAAACAAAATTTTTGGAAAACAAAAACTTGCTGTAATTATGACATATATGCGCAGAGTTTTTATTTGAGTAATACATATTAACGAAAATAGTATCAGCAAAAAGAATATCTCACCATGGTTTCTTTGGATAAGCAACAATATACAAAGCCCGTAGCGCACTGCCTCCATGATTTGCTTTCGGATTAATTTACCAATATTAATTTAGTCGAGTAATTTTCAGCACTTATGGTAGAAGCGCCAACGATCATCGCTGAGAAATATTCCATGCGGGCTGATCCGTCGGTCAACCGCGCAAATTTGCCAAATCAGCGATATTTTGTGCCCGGAAGCGGCAGTCTGTGTCGTTTCTTCTTAGTAGACACATCAGTGCTAGTTCCGGATTATTAATTATGCGGCATTATTTAACTGCTGTTAATTTGACGTCGAACCGGACTTTGTAAAAACATATTTATTCAGCTTTCCACAGATAATTCTGTTTGCTGTAAACCAACCGCAGCTTTATTGTATCCGAAGTTTTCCAAAGCTTTAGTTGATCACATATTTTATTAATATTCAGTAGTTTTATTTCCGGTTGCGGAAACACTGAAATTTGCGTTGCTTATTAGCTTTTTACTTTTGCTCTTTTGCTCTTACGTCCTTAATTAGGTCGTTTTGGTTAGTAACATTGCAAAGCTACGGAGTCCAAAGCGACTGCAAGCAACTTGTAAGCACACTATCGCAAAATTTTCTTCCCACAAACAACCACGGGAGGAGACAAAATCGTAATTAAGCGCTTAGATCAACAGGCCACGTCACAGTCAGTTGTATTATACGAAAATTCACTGCCTGTCCAAACATTTTCCAAGGTGATTTTTCTGGAACAGTCCACGCTGAAGACATCCGTACCATTCCCAGTTCGTTCAACTCCTTCTGACAAATAGTTTCCGACGATGAACACTTCACCCGGCACCTTTGCTTCAATTAGATATGGTTTCCGCTTCAAGAAATTGCGTAACCAGGCAAACGAGCAGTCACAGTGCAGAGTGTACAGTCGGTCAAGATAGTCTTCGGTGCCTATATGACTGTACATGGCAGCTTGGCTTGGATCATTTTCAGTTGCTAACACCATGCCGAAAAATCTCTCCAGTATCAGGCTGCGCAAAAGAGGCAAATCCGTAAAAGTACCCGGCTCCAGCGTCTCAATCGTGGACATATAGAAGGCGATCATCCGTAATTGCGGCATTCGGCTAAAATGCTTCTTCTGAATCGTCATATTGGCGCAGCCATTGAGAGCGAAACTGTAAAGATAGGGAAAAGTGCCGAGCTCGTACACTTTGGCGGTAGTATTCGGGTATCGACAATCGAGAATGCACAGGTCAATTATTTGATTTTGAACGGGTTCAACTACATCAAAAGTAACTGGATCTTCTTCGTCTTTCCACTCATACAGGTTCAGGAGTACGGCACGCAGCGGGCTGATTTCCCGGACGTGCTTAGTGGTATTAGCGATCAGTGCACGAGGCTGGTATATACACAGTATTTGCACGTATGTGGCTCCCATTTGTTCTTTACGAGGATGTTCGTTATCCACGACACACGTATCGAAGCTAAAAATCATCGAACACGTGGAATTCTCCTCCTGGAATTGCTGGTAGAGGTTGCACTCTTCCACCGTAAGCAAATCTGCTCGAAAAGGATATGGCGTAGACTGCGTAGTTGGAGTAACTGCATCGTTTGATGTTGTTGAATTCTGTTTACTGCAGTCCGTGTGCACATCAGCCAGCCCACCTGGCAAGATTTTCATGAGATAAACCATTATTATATTTTTAAATTATTAATTCTGAAAAGACTTAGTGCATTAAGCATTTGAAGTGGAATAATCAAAAAATTATTCCAATGTTTTGATAAACGTTGCAACCCTGCAATCGTATGCTTTGGATTCATCGTAATATGCCAGCGAACTGCCTTACCGTACATGCTGCTGATTAAACAGAAAATCAGAAATCCGTATCTCAATTCTTCCATGTTGCAGGTTCGAGTCGATTTAACCGAGTAAACGCGTCGCATTATTGTAATACGTGTGCGATGGATGTATCCGCGATGAATGCTAACCAAAGATTCCTGCATGCTGAATCATCGTCCAACTTTACCGAATCCGTGTTTCTGCCTGCAGCAGTAGTTACCACGCTATAGATTTCCGTATTACGAAGCATAATAATTACATTACGGTGCCAAATAACTGTATATAAAAATATGTATCTGTTTGCACATGTATGGCCCCGAAAATGTTTTAACAAGAAAAGGCACGTGCAATTTGTTCATATGCGGCACGTGAGCTTTGGTATGCATATATATACACGGCTTCACCTGCTACTAACGATGTTATCTTGTAAACGAATTCTATAGTTTTATATAGTGCACATCAGTTCCACAATTGCTTGAAACTCCATGTGTTTATTCCGTTTGCTTTAACGAAATCCACATGCTGCTCACTTTTCTATTACAGCGGCAGCAATCACCGGTAATAAATTAATATCTGCATCTGTGCTGATCCGGCAACCGGCCTCACAAATTTGCCGAACAACCAATACTTCACCCGTAAGCGATTGCGACGGCCTATATCGTTGCTTTTTGGTAGACAAGTCTACTACCAGCGCTTAATTTTTACTAAAAATTTTACTTCCGGTTCCGGAGTTGTTGGAAACTAATAGCGCTAAGTGACTAACTAATTTTTAATTGTTCATTTCAAGTGTTCATTTAAGTAGTTTCCGATCCTAAATGCAGCACTGAAAAGTAAACACGTCTAAAACGATTGCATATCATCCATTCCTAAATATTATTTTAAGCCATAATACTGACTTAAAATCAAAGCTAGAAGAGGAAATCCAAAATTACTCAAGCAAATTGACTATCACAGTAAGATGCATTATAAGAAAATTTATGACCGGTATAAACATTTTCTACTGTGATATCTTTGGAACAATCCACACTGAGGATATCCGTATGATTCCTATGAAATTGCACGGCTTGTGATAAATAGTTTCCAATTATGAACACTTCGCCTTCATTCTTCTCTTCTATGAGGAAGGGTTTCTGCTCCAAGAAGTTGCGCAACCAGGCAAACGAGCAGCCGCAGTGTAGATTGTACAGATAGTCGAGATATTCGTCGGTGGCAAATTTACTGTAAGCGCTTTCGGGATTACCTATATTCCATAACGCCGTGATAAAATCTCTCTCCAGTATCAAGCTGCCTAAGTGTGGCATATCCGTAAAGGTGCCCGGTTCTAGCGCACTGATGGAGGTTATGTAGAAGGTAACCATCCTTAGTTGCGGCATCCGGCTGAAATCTTTCTTCCGTATCGTTAAGTTAGTGCAACTATTCATTTCAAAATCGTACAGATTGGGAAAATTACCCAGTTCGTACACTTGGGCGGTAGCATTCGGCGCTTGACAATCGAAAACACCCAGGTGTATCATTTGATTGCGAACGGGATCGACTACATCAGTCGTAAGTGGATCTTCGCTTTCAAGGTACTGGAACAGATTCAGCAACACGGCACGCTGTGGGCTGATTTCCCGCACGCGCTTCGTGGTCTTGGCCACGAGTGCATGCCGCTTCCATACACAAGATACGTCCAAGTACGTGTTTAGCATCAGATCCTGGCGAGGATGTTCGTCATCCACGACACAAAAGATGCTGCTAAAGACCATCATACACATGGATTTTTCCATCCCATATTGCCAATAGAGATTGCATTCCTCAACAGTCAGTAAGTCCGTTCGCAAAGGATATGTCGTGGCGGAAGAAGTCGCGTTGTCTGCTGTTGGATTTTGTTGGCCGCCATCTGCCAAGCTTGCTAAAAAAGGTTCCAGAAAAAATATAAAATCGCCTGGGTATGTATTATTAAATCACTGTTACAAGGTACAGCTGATGCCATAATTATTAAAGAGATTTATTAAATGAGAGGCAGGAGATTATTCGTCAATCATTTAGAAGATTAGGTATATTTTAATAATATCATTAAAAGCTTGAGAAATTTGTCATGAATTGCCTTACCCCCCATGTTACTCAGTAAGAACATAAGTAAAAATCCGTGTTGTAATCTCTCCATTCTGAAGTTACGAATAGATTACAGTACACTAAGTATCTGTACTGTAATAATTATACCAGTACTAAATGTACAGCATACTGACGCTAAGATGTACGTGTTAACAATAACTGCTGACGAAGAAGTTCGTGCGTGCTGATTCATGAACCATCGATCACGGTATCACTTTGCCGAATCCGTGATTTTGCCCGGGAGCTGTAATCAGCACAGCTGATTAATGGGTTTCTGTGTTAAAACGCACAGTCCTTAACGACTGTTGAATGATTTTCGCTATTGAGTATCCTTCCGCTCAGACTGACCCGCAAAATGTGTTCTCGGGGAACCAGCACGGGATTCGTATAAACAGCACGTGAACACAAGCATTTCGTACAAATTTCTCGCTGTCTTTGCTCTGCGAACAGGGAAGTGAAACGTTGTTGGTCACCTCTTGGATTGTGACGTATTCACTTAGATCATCGTTGAACCGATGTGGTGGGGAGACCTGAAGAACCTATCTGAAGACATTTTTCCTGCTTTAATAGAATAAAACTTTTGCTCTAATTAAGGACCAAAAGCATTGCCGTGCATCAAAAGTCACGCTATAGACCGATTGTTTACAAATGTTGTATGCAAAGGCACGTTACTACGATGATTTGCTTTACTAAGGTTTTAGCGGTTTTAACATTTTAAAATGAATTTGGAAAGTCTGAAATTCATTTTTAAATTTGAGAAAATCGGCGGAACCTTGAGTCAGTGTAAAAACGTTTTGCTGTGTAGTTCCTGTTGCCGCAACGACTATCGTTAGACGAAAAAGTTTGCGTGCAACAATTTTGACTATCGCAAAAACTTTTCTAACCACAATATTACTCCTTGAAGCTAGAATCTAACCGTTGTTGATTTTTGGAGCAGAGCAAAAACTGGACGAGTTCGACACGGGACGGGCGAATCTTGTGCTTCTAGCAAAATAGCAAACCTGCCGCTCGCACTGCGGCAAAACAGACAATGGATAACGAGCCGCAGTGTGCGGAGAAATAACCAACCAGTTACAGTGCCGCAAATTTGTTCTCACTGCGGCAAAATAGTATGAGCTAATCTAAATTGATCGAAAACAATGGTCCTGACCTTTGATTGCAATTTAAATTTAATTCGGGTAGTATCAGTGCGAAAGGTCTTTTTGCTGCTTTTAGCGGATACATTCTCTAATTTCTCTTAGAAATGTTCCCTGGATGCTACGATTTCGTGCGCCGTGACTGACTGTGGTTCTTGCTTTTCAGTTAATCTGGAATTTCTTCGTATTCAGGTATTTGTTCGATTTCCTTGGCACAACTTCCACGCGACACATTTTTACCGAGTACATGTAGGCTAATTGATAGTATGTAGTAGAGAGGCACCGCTGGCACCAAAATTAATATGCTCACTAGCTGCATGAGCGGTCTTACAAGCAGAGTATTCAGCGTAACGCTAACCGGCCAAATTACGTAGCGCACCGGAAGAAAAAAACACACCATAAGCGCACCTAAGGAAAAGAAAATTACAGCCACCATCGATTATTGATCATAAGGTAGTGTTCACAGTTTCTTGTACAGAACATTTCTCTGTGTGTTTTGTTTATATCCCTGGCTTTTCTAGCAGAAAACCGAATGGGCGGGTTGTGTTTGCGTTATCACAGTAGCCGCTATTTTAATTTAGAACTGCGTGTCAGTCAAAATATTATCAACCGTGATTTCATACTGAAAGCATTGGTGAGGTTTTCTTCTGGTATCATTTGTTAACAACGGTACTTCCGTACCGTAGATCATATTCATTTATTTAGAGTATAAAACATCATACTGATTCCCGCTACTTTAGGGTGCTAAAACACGTATAAGTCAAACATAAAACTATCAGCTGCATTGCCTGCAGTCAGTTGAAATGGCCGACGCCTGCTTTACAAACAGAAAGAGCCCTAGTTAGCTGTTAGTTTAATTGGCAGTTGTCCTAAAATTCTGCTGCTGACTGTTAGTAGCAAGAATTTTTGGGCAAGTGCTAATTAGACAGCCAACAGTCAGTCAGCAACGCTTTTAGTGTTACACTATTAGAAATGTTTCAGAGACACTGCTCCCCACTGCGTAGCCTCGCGAAACGAAAACTTAGTGGTGTGGGGCGGAAGCAGAATGCTTCAGGCAGTGACGCACCATCTTGACCGTCTGGCTGCTCCTAAACCGGCAATCGGCGCACACCAGATGAGCATTACGCGCCTGACGTTGATGGTCTTGGCTGAAAAAATGGGAGACCAGGTGCTGCTCGACGTCCGACAGGAAATGGCATGCGTTACAGCGGTACCGGTGCTGATCTGCCGAACCATGACAACTGATGATGATTTCCTTGAAAGTCGGTTTGAGGTCTTCTGTTGAGTTGTTTTTTGCTTCGTATTGGTGCGTGGGTTGTCCAGTCGAACCATTGTCGTCGCTAGTGTCCTCCGTTTTGATGACAGATTCGGAGTGGTAATCGGTTCTAACATCCGAATTAACTGGAAACGTTTCGACAGCAGCAGTATCTTCGTTTGGGGATGGTTTCCCGCGCAATGGTGGCCGAGTTCTCTGAGTGGTTTTCCCGTGCAGACGAGACACGTGATCCCTGGCCGCTCTCCTCTTCCAAGCGATCCGCAGCTCTAGGATACCTTTGCACTTTTAGATAAATGCATGATAAATTGCTGGCTTAATATCGATTCGCGGTAAACAAATTCTTCGGGTTACTCGTAAGTCGTACTATTATAGTAAGGTTGATGTTTCATACCACGGTGCGTAGAGCCACACCGGTAAGCGTATGCATATTTAGCAAGGCGGGTTATTGATAGATAATTAACAAAAATATTCGAACAGTTTGGTGAATGGTATAGAGTAACTGACGTTAAATTAGGAACCTTACGCTGAAGATGGCGCTGGCGGACGTCTTTACCAGCCAAATACAATTCATTGGACACTGTGCGAGCGCAATGATCGACGCGGCGAGCAATCTTCAGAATGTTTACATTCTCGTTAAACAGTTGGATTATCAACTGCTGCTTTGCAAGGGTGACCCTCGAATCCCTTTTCCTGCCTCCTGTTGGAAATAATGAACCGAAGATTGTAGGGCATAAGGGCTTGTTTACAGCTGGAGAGAATTGAAAGCGTACCTCGCTGCGACAGTGTTTCACCGATCAGCACCAGCTCCCTGTAGACTAGGTGGTCCGTGACCCCAGCGCGCGATGCGATCGTCTGCCCACTGATACCCTGCTGGAACATCGTGTAGATCATCTTTCGCTGTTGGTCGGTGGTTTTGCGTGGTACGTGTTGCCATTGCTGGCGTTCGTCTGGCCGGGAATCGGTGGGCATAGTTTTAGGTTCGGGAAATTCCGGGGATTGACGATCGTCGCGGGCTGTTTCCGCAGCACTATGGTATACGATAGCTAGCAATAAAAAACATGATCATGAGTCGTGACCTAATGAAGGAAGGGAAGGACATGTCGGCGACTGAGTTTAGTCAGCACTCAGCAATCCCAGTGTGCGTATATTATGCTACTGAATCTGCTTCTACCGTTTTGCGCGAGGCGTCTGGAGCGCCGCTGGGAACCTCTAACTTTCATAATCTGGAACAGCTCGATCACAAATCCGGCAAAACCCCAGCGCCGACGTCTCGCGCTCTTTAACCTAAATGGTTGCGTCAAACAATAACTTCAGTAACCGTTAGGTAATAACTTCAAGTTGTCAGCAATGAGCGTTAGTGGGCAGTTAAGGGTTACGACTGAAAAGAAAACAATCAGAAAAAGTTTGAACCGTTGTGCACTATAAACAAGACACGGATGTGTATACAGGCCTGAGGACTCCCAAAGAAGTTGAAAGAACCACACACACACATAGAGATACAGCATGCGGGTTCACGGGAAAATGAAAGCCCGATTAAAACAAACCTTTCGTTGTTCACGAATGCCGAGATAACAAATCGATGTAAATGATCCGCCTGACAGAGTAATTGCAAGTGTGCAGCGCTTATGCTTATCGAGACAACACTTCAAGTCTCCAGAGGCCAGCCAAAAGAAAGTGGAGGGCAGAGCAACTCACAAGTGGATGTAGCACATACGCATGCACCTGCATAGTTTTTGCCGGCACTGCGAGGCATTTTAGGATGCCAAAATACGAGTATGTCAGCTTCTTTAAACAGAAGAAGAAGACAATGAATAAAAACCAGAACAATGAGATGAACCATACATCGCTCGTTATCCACTGGTTGCAAAAGCTACACTTGGAAGTCGCATCCGGGTGCAATCGACACTCAGCCGGGTGCATAATGAAACTGCGCACGCTGCTGGCTGCCGTGTCCTTCGGCTCCACCCGACGTATCCGGGTTCATTGCACATATCCGTGCTAATGTTTGGCGAAGAGAGGATCGCTGGAATCACGGGGTAAACGATCTCGTTCAAAGAAGGCTCTAATACGTGATATGCGAAGTGGCAGTTTTCGCGAAGATCTAGAGAAATTATCAGTAGCAAAAGGTGCTACTGTATGTATAAGGAAACAACCATATAGTGCATAAATGCGCAACCAATAAAATAGCTCGAGGCTCATAATAAATAATTTCGTAATCGGAAAGCTCACATTCCAAAACCCAGCCAGACAAACCTAATTTGTTATTAAATGCTTTAATCGGGTAGAGCAAAATTTCAATTACTTCACCACATTACTGCGGCCTTAAATTTACAATGCTGCCCATACTTGAGAAAAAAATGAGCTTATTACAAATTATTGACTGTTGCTCTTACCAAAGTGTTGAAAAGAGTGACTGCAAAATAACAACAGTTTTCCGGTCGTGGTATTGCTTGCGCTATCCATTCATTACGTTCCTAAATGACCGTTGATCCTGAGATTCTTTATACTTTCTGCAGGGATGTTGAGTTATTAAAATGAACCGCGACTGTGCTTGGCTAGGCATTTTGCCCAAAGCTTTAGTTTTCTAATGCTAGATCCAGAATGGGTCCAGAGACAGAGACAGAAACAGAATCTATCCTGTGGAAGCGAGCGATACGATATGGATCGCGAGCTATGCGGAAACACAAACGTCGCACCGTAAATCGCTGACTTTTAATAATATTGAAAGTCTGGAAAACCAAAAATCAACACTGATCGGCGCAGCTCGATCGTAAAGCGTAGAGCCAATTCAACAGTGTGCATCACTGTGCAGCACGTGCTATGCCGCGCCCACTAACACAACTCAAGCCAATCAGAAGCGAGACACAACACAGACACGTAATCCAGTGGCGTAGCGTTGCGGACGTGAACGCTAGTGAACCCCCGCTCACATGCCTCTGGGGGGATGCCGAGCTCCTGTGAGGCTGGACACACTCCCGAATCCACGAAAACGACGGTCGCCGGTGTCTGTGCGTGCTCAAAAACATCAAATTCTCTTATTCCATTTTATCACATCAATTCCATAAAGGCACAATTCCATATAATACGATGTGAATAAAGAGATCCAATTATAAAAATACTATCATAAAACAGATCAACAGTTAAACAGATCAACGAAAGTATTAATCAAATGTTGACTAGGATCCTCCATTTCTGACTCATAAAGGTCACAGGTCCTGTCCACCGTTTTCCGCACTTTGGCCCATTCCGCTCTGTTGAGCAATCCTGCGCATCCGTAATGCGAGTTCATCACAATCCGCTTGAGAATCAGGTGCGTATCAAGTACGACTTAGGAATACTGCTTCATCTTTGGAATAAGGTGCGTATCAATTGTACGACTTCAAATGAGATCTATAAAGGTCATGGAGGGACGTCAATGAAGACAAGCGTAGTTCGCTTCCTCCCTGGTAAAGGTCATCCTTTGTTGAAATGATCCGTTGAGATGTGCGATTCATTTTGGGTTAATAGTCCCAAAGGTCATGCGACTTGAATTCTGATACGGTGACTCTCTTGGGCGGTAATGGTCCCAAAGGTCATCCGACTTCTCTTCAAATTTCCGTTAAAGGTCATGGAGGGACTTAGCCAATTTTCTGCGGCTTTCAAGCACTTCTTTGCTTGCCTCCCTGGTAAAACTTGCAATTTGACCTTTCCGTCGCACATCCAACTTCAACATGCCTCGAGCGGCCAGAGTGCCGGCAAAGTTTACCGTAGCATCTCTGATGGGGCCGGCTAGTTACCGCATTGAGTTTACCCCATGAAATTTCCACATTTAGTCTTTTACTCTTGTTCGCCGCTTGTGGCCCAACTTCGGTACGAGTGATCCGGCTTGGTTACCGCTATTTCTCTCGTTGATTTATAACACTGAGTCGCTTGGAGAGATTGCCGGTATGGTTTACCGTAGCAACTCTGATGAGGCCGGCCGACTGCCGCATTAAGTTTACCTCATTAAAGTTCCACCTGTTGTCTTTCTCTTTCTCGCCGCTTGTGGCCCGCTTTCGTCTTCAAGAGATCCGGCTTGATTACCGTAGTTTCTCTTGCCAATTTATAACACTGAATCGCTTAAGGAGGAGAGCCGGCTAACTGCCGTAACTACTCCCTTGGGGCCGGCTTTATAGACCGAATCAATTTCAACCCCAATAGATATTCCACATGATTTCTTTAGGCAATTCTGTGCTATAAACGCTGCAAACAACAAATACACAAATACAGTTAATGTTAACATGTCACATGTCACGCCCTTTATACAACACCATTTTTCATCTTTGTGACGTACCGACAAAATGCCGTAGACGTCCTTTTAATAGTGTGATCCTAACGATCAGCACTATTCCATTTCATTTGAATCGCCCTCACCATCTCTTGGCGGGCGCTTCTTAGCGCTTTCTGGTTGATTACGATCTGACGTGCGGTCAAGTGGTTCCATGGAGTCAACTTCCATGACCTTTGCCGGGTCAACTTCTCGTTGGCCACGACCTTTCCCTTGACGACTGCGCTTAACTGCCTCTAGCCGATGGCGCGCATCATTTTCTTCCAGTCGCAGTCTTCGGTTATCAGGGTCATCTGCCAGACGGCGTTTTACTTCGGCGAGATTATCCCGTAGCTGTTGGTTTCGTATGCCGCGTCGTCCCATCTGGTTAGGAGCGCGTTCCGGGCGTCGGTCACTTTTCTTCACCAGAAATTCGTCAATGTACGTTTCGACCCCGTCCGCTGGTTCAACGTAGTCACTTCCCAGGGAATCTTTGATCTTATTAATCCTTTCTTCAACTTGAGAGGCATGGCGCTGTGTCAAATTGCCCTTTTCCATTCGTGTCTTGCACTTCTTCAGCGCCTTCCGAGCAGTATGAGCTATGCTGACATGTTCCATCGGTTCTCCCAATTTAGCAACGTGAGATCGGAAAAGTGGTGGGATATCGTCTCTCATCGTATTTGATACCAACTGATTCTGTGTCTTATAATGTGCCAGTCGTGCAGCAAAGACCTTTTGCCCCATCCTTTTTGCGGCGTAGTCTTTAGGATCCACTTGTAATCCTATCGATGCTCTTGCTGCAAGCAACTTGAAGGCTGGGTTTACATATCGCAGTACAAACTGAGCCACATATTCTTGTCGTTCGGGATAGTCTCTATAATAGAACTGTGTCATCCCGACCGGGTCAGTTGTATCCAATGGCACATCCAATAAACTCAGATCCACTAGACTGTGTAATCCGTTCCGTCTGATAGGGAGATAACAATCTCGTGCCGAATCGCGGTGGATGAATAACCGGCGAAAAATTCCTTGTTCCACTCCCTCTTTTATTTCTTTCGCATAACCCGAGTCAAGTAAGAATTGGCTCAGCTGTCTCAGAATTGTGCCAATTTTGTTAGCTTCAACCGAATCCGATTCAATTCCAAAGTATCGACAAATTTCGACCGTTTGTTCATCAATATCAGTCGTATTATATTCCATATCAATACATTCAGGACGTCGGTTATTGAATCTGGAGTTCAGTCGCTGATCAGCTTGGCGACGATTATCCGGTTCACGTTGACCTTCTAGTTCACGTCGCTCTCCTGACTCAGGCTGCGACGGTTCAACACTCGGTGGTGTAGCCAGTTGAAGGTCACTATCAAGAATTACGTTACGTCGATGCGTCACTTTTTCTTGAGATGCGGTTTCCACAACTGAGCTAGTTCCTTCCATCGCGTCGTCTTCTTGAACCGCGTTTACAATTGGAGTCACTACATGGACTGTTGACGCCATTCGCTGATACTTTGGAGGTGAATCTTCCCTTTCCGCACTTGATGACCTTTTGCTTGCGCCCGAGTCAAAGGTCGCATAAAATGCAGCCCTCTGTTGCCATCTTTTATCACGTGGGTCGGGTGTTCGATTCCGCGTTTGTTCGCGTCTTTTGTCCCATGACCTTTCAGGTGTTGACATTCTGACGTTGCGATTCCGGAAGGCAACTCCCATCGGCACCTGATGCCCTTCCTTTTCAGGCTCTGTACGGAATGTCTCCGCACGCCGTTTCTCTTCACGTTCTCTTGTGGCTGCCAAGATCTTTGCCGTATCGATTTTCCTCTGAATACTCATTTCTGTTACTTCGTCTCCATGGCGCACCCATCCTCTTCCGCCACGGTAATCTCGGTCGCGGGAGCGTTCGCGTGACCTTTCGCTGTGGTAATCACGTGTCCTTTCCCGAGAATGTTGACGTGACCTTTCACTCCGTCGTTCCGAAGTCCGTTCATGTTCGCGTGAATGTCCGCGTGACCTTTCTCTATGCGGAGGCGATCGAGGTCGAATAAAACCTTCGTCCCGTTTGAAACTTCTGAGTGCCTGGAGCACATCGCTTTCAGTTTGGCGAGATTTACGTAATTCGTTCATACGTCTTTCGACTTCCTTCTTAATATACGGCGCTGGGGCAAATCCGTCTTGAAGTCGTTTTTTCTCCCGCAGTAGCGCTTTTAATACCTCGTCTGGCATAGCGGCTGGGTCTTTCATTATCGTTTTAATTTGAATAATGAGGGACTGACGGGTAAGCTGCGCTTCCTCTTCGTTTAGGCTGGCTGTGGGTACGGCTGAACTCGATGTGCTGGGCAGCGTCTCTCGTGCAGCCTGTTCACTTGCTCTCTTGTTTTCCGCATTAATTTTCGCGCGGATTTCATCTTCCATTTGCTGAACTCGCATCTTCTCTTGGTCTTCTTCGAACTTCTTCCGATACGCGTCTGTTTGTGGGCATTTCAACGGTTCCAAGGTGCCATCCCAACCAGGTTCGTTGTTCCGGATCGCTTCCCGGTAGCGATCCTCAAGTAGCATTCGCTCTTCCACTGGGATGCTGCCGTAATTCCTTGCGCTTATCAGGTTGCGGAAGACGTCCAGGTTCCCTCGTTTGGCTTCCGAGATCCCAACGAGTGAAACAATATGTGGGTCCTCCAGCTTGTGAATGCATGTATAGCACGGGAATTTCTTATCAACCATTTTGTTATTCCGTGAACAGTCCGGACACTTTGGATTATAGCCCGTAGACCGATCGATATCTGCCGTCGTTCCTGGACGTTTAGAAGTGGCTTGACCTTTTTGTGCCATCTTTCCGCTTCAATCTGCAATTATAAAACAATCCGTCATAGTAACCTTTTCCACGTCAATCTTTTCCATTCCTATCCATATCAAGG